CACTCAGAGGACTAAATACAGACATGTGGAAAACATGTCAAACTCACACTGAAAACTCCCTCATGGGCATGTAGGGCATGGTATACTGCAGTGCTCCAATATTTTTTAATATAACAGAATATAATCCATGGTATTGTTTAAGAAATAGGCCAGAATTATAAGCTTTCTTCATCTTGTTCTCGTTTATTCATGGGCATTGTATTAATAATTGAGAATATTGTTTTCTATTTAGTTTTGTTTGCCTCTTAACCCCTTAATATGTGCCTATGTATGAATCCACTGCTGTGTTAATGCCAAAAACTGCAATAGAGTTTACTTTTTAAGGAAAGCAAGCAGATGGAAATGGACAGGTATGCTTCATCAACCCATTTTTTTAACCATGGAATCAACTTTATGATGGATTTGGAGATATCCATGGTATCTCTGACAGTGCAAATGAAGAGAGTCATGGCATGATATTAATTTATCCCATGATTGTCATTTGATAGGATACCAGTGCATTGAAATACACCTCCTCAGCTTGAGACCTGAAAACTCCAATAAATTGCCCAAACCCCCAAATTACTACAGGGGTTAGCAATAAATACCCTTATTAAGGGCTGGGTGAGGAACTTGTCTGTTTGCTTTCACACACAGCTCATCAGGGTCATTTTAGAAAATTTTCAGGATCTTTATTCATGTCTGGAAGGGGCTTTAGACTGTTGTGCCAGCTACCGGTAATGCTGGCGACTCTCAAGTGACTCATCCACCAGGTCCAAGATGTTTGGTTTGTTTAAGATTTTGATTGATAGCGAGTTTAGGTATTTTGGGGTTTATTAGACCCTGTTAGATGGAGGACAGTGCTGCGATTCAATTGATAATCAAGGTCTCCAGACACACTGACAGTATTAGTCAGAATCCGGTCTTAATAAAATGTGTTTCTTCCACACCTAAAAGGCCCCACACAGCTAGTCAAGGTTCCCACTGTGAAGGGTTGGGGTAAATCTGCACTCTCCCTTAGTGATTTGAACTCAACTTGAAGAGTGGGACCACCAGACATGACTTGGACTTGATGCTGGATGGTTCAATGACAACGCTGGTACAGAGGTCTATTTTATAGTGCTGAGCTCAATAATCAGCCCTGTTCGTCCAAGGCCTAGCATACAGCAACAGGTATGGAGCTGAGTGAGGCCAAGCAGCTCATGTCAAATTGTTACCAAGTTCTCTCAGTAACTTTTTATTATCTGGTATAATAAGTAGTGACAGACAAATGTAGATGAACAAAAGTGTTCAATATATTTGGGCTCCTACAGTAATTTACAGTACATGACAGATGCATATACTAACCAATGTTAGCATTGACTTTGAATGAGGTGAAGTTTCCTCAGAAGTCAGCATCAACCCAGTGAAGGAAGACTGTTAAAGAGGAAACGGTCAGGCCTCTGTTTCACTATACCTGACACTGTGTGTTTGTCCATGTGTGTATGTGGGTCTTGCACATTGGACGTGGCTCTTTTGCCTCTGCAATGCTATAACGCTCTGTAAAAATCAGAAACCGAGGCACCATTGTTATGGCATTCAGTGGTTCATTGTTTAAGAACAATTGTTTGAGCACAATGGCATGATAATGGTGGAGCTCTGTTATCATCATAGACTTTAAAGCTATAGGGCTCTCTTTTCGTGTCCGCCAGTGAGGCGGTGGAGGGTGGCGGACCCTGCGCAGTGGTATTTTCGTCTGGCGGAGCCCGGCGTACAGCCAGTTTGGTATTTTCGTGGACTGAGGTGCACCGAGGTCGGCCAAGCTGGGCGTGGTGGCATGGCAGAGGGAGGTGTTGACAGAATTAGCTGCCGCAGTGACATTTTTGTGCTGGCCGGTGGCGTATAAAGTGCGCTGAAAGCTTGCCGATTCAAACCTGGTCAGTTTTCAGTGCAGGCAGAGCGCAGCTGGTCTAGTGGTATGTCACCGATGCCTCACCGGCAGGTTTCCACAGTGTCAGGCACATTTTTAGTGCAATATATTATCATCAACAACTAATCTGAGTCAGCACATACATTTAGATCTATATAGATATATTCTGATCTAAATCTGATCTGATGAGCACGTTTGGCACGTGTCTGGACACACAACCTGACCGAATCAACACAGCTGAAACCGCATTAAATTAAATATCTAGTAAATAGACACACATGATGAAGTTAACAAAATACGTAATTCGTCTCCCTCCTTTTCTTTCTTCCTCTTCCTCTTATTTCTCGCGCAGCTCGACCTGGACCTGTCTCCGTGTCCTCTCCCCGTCCTGCTGCAGCTTGAGGCGGCTGAACAGATGATGTGTTTCAGTGATCAGATGAGTTATTTACTTTAAGCCTACATACGAATATTATAATATTCAGTTTTTTGAGCCAAATTTATTTTATATGCCAACATCAATGAAAGAAGGAGCCAGGCCACGGAGCGTGATGCATCCTCTACACACAGATTTTAATGCCATTTTTGGAGTTTATGTTGTGATCTGTGCGCAAAACCCACCTTTGTCACGTGAGGTTTGAATATGTGCAACTTTATGCGAGTGTCTTTATTTGTAGAAAGGGTGTTTGTCTTACTAGTGGGTCCAACATTACACACACCAAATCCATCGGTGCTCATATGAGAGAGTGTGGAGGACGCCCAATGCAGCGCTTACAGTGACACTTGTTGAGGAGCAGCCTTCTGTCACCATCGTGTGGCATTACTGTCTTCAGACATCTCTTGATCTCTTTGACTATTGCACGAAAATAGTAATATGTCTCACCGGTGGCGGATTTAAAGGCAAGGAGAGGAGCTGATGTTATTGGTCAATACAGGCCTCGGCTGTGTTAAACCCACTCCACGCCCTCTCTCCTCCCTCGCTATGACTTACGCCGCTGGGAGGAGCTGAGTTAGGGAGGGGGGATACTTACGCCGGCCTGCGCCACTCAATGTGCTTGGGAAGGCCTTGTTGGCGTGGCAGACCTGACTTATGCCGCGCCTGCGCCACGTCTCCGGCGAAGCACAAAAATAGAGCCCATAGTGCGTAAATCTATTGTCCCCTAGAGGATTTCTTCATTATTACAATGATTACAACACCTCAATATGACGTATGGCCCAGTGTAACCCATACATGGAGTAACACTCGCAACTCACTGCATACTGCTTGTCATGGTACACAGACTGTAACTGTCTACACAACGTGTAGGCTACCAAAGTTACTTGTCACAGCACACAGACTCCATGCAGTAAGTTACACACAGCAACATGGCTCTGTAATTTACTACTCATTAGGCTAACATTACACATTGTGGCGAACATCAGGCTGCCAACAATACATTTCATTTACAGCACCATTTCCCAAAAAAATAAAGTACTCGGTCCAGTAAATGTAACAGCAACATATCCTGCTCGTAATGAACAGAGTCACTTACTGGGGCTCTCCATCGAGGAAAAACAATGCAGATGTAAATCCACGTTAGTCTTCTCTGTTTGTCACTCTCTTTCCTGGCTAACAGACCTTCTGCCCAACGAGAAGGCTTTTTCTTTTTAGTAGGATCCACTTCTGAACCTCTTGGTTGCTTCTTTGGGTTCTCTGCCATGTTGCTTCTAGCAGCGCTCTCCTCCCCCTTGTTGTTGTCAGGTAAAACCAAGAAGAATGATTTCCTGTGTGCTAGTGCGGGGATGTCGCCCCCGACACCAAATATTTAAAGAACAAATACTGAAAAATACGGTGTGGTGTTAGAGGAGCTGAACAGCTCAATCGGTGTTGCATCATCTCCTCCTCTAGTGGCTTGGGTGAAATGGATATTTACAGACATGTAGAGGTTACGCGCTATAGCTTTAAAAAATGGCCGCACCATCTGTGATGTCATCCATTAGTTTGTGAAGCAAAGTTTGAAGCCATATTGTAAATGCTGACAAATGCTGCGTTCAAGTTACCTCAGAAGTCAGATATCGGAGCTGAAAATGATGTCACACCCAAGTTCCCAGTGGTTCAGTTACCAAGTTGGAAAAAAGCGAAATCGGAGGCGGAAACAAGACGGCTACTTCTACGAAAGTTATTTTAGCGCTTGCCTTGTCTGAATATAAGTCTAAAGTAACTAAAATAACTTTCGTAGATGGAGCCATCTTGTTGCAGGCCTCCGATTTTGCTTTTTTCCAACTTGGTAACTGACACGCTGGTAACTCGGGTGTGATGTCATTTTCAGCTCGGACTTCTGACTTCCAAGGTAACTAGAACGCACCATCAGCCTCCTGCAGGCCGACCGAAAGTCCTGTAGCCTCCTCGCAAATACAGCGTTCTAGCTTGTTGGTCAAGTCTGCTCCTATAAATGAACTGCTAGAGGACAGTATCTGGAAATGACTTTTGGGGTGCTTAAAGCATCATAACCTGAAGTGTCAGACTGCTGTCCAGGCGGCCATATTTAGAGACTTGGTAGAGAGCAAGCTGTTCACTCACGCAAAATGTATCCCGGTGAAGTCGATACGCTTACTGCTCTGTTGGCAGAGGGTGCAGCTCAGTGTGTTTTGGAGCTGGTTTGGACTTCAGCTCATTGTTCCCTGCTGCTGAGAGGCAAATATGAAGCGTAATATTTTATGGGCCTCACCGGATCATTACTGTTCTCTCTGCTCTGGGTGGAGTCACATTTGGAGGACGTTCTCTTCACCTTCAACACCTAAATGCTCACTGTATTTGGAGCCCAGAGTAGAAACAGAAAAAAACTTCCAGATGTGCAACCATATATAGCGCCATGACCTCCACATGGGGACAAAAAGTTTCAGCAAAGCAGTTTGAATCTGCCCTCCTCGACAAAACAAATTAATTATCAAGTGTTTTGTAGATGCAGAACTCAATGTGCCCCAGACAGGCCATAAGGTGACTTTATCAAACCAGCAGGAGAGTGTAACAGTTTTAGTCATGTTATATTTACCAACATTAAAAAAAAAAGAGTGATTAATTGATTACTGACTTGAAAAAGGGGCAAATATTACACTTGTCAGCAGGAGTTACTTTGCGTCTTTATTCAGGAAAAAGGGTATGAAAGGAGGTATATTCTCATAAACGCGCAATTTTTTGTACTCAAATTAAAAGAAGATGCTCTTCTCAAATTGTGTTTCTGTTCTTTTCTTTTGTTTGGACTGTTTTCATATCCTACAGTCCTTATCAAAAGCAAAACACCAACCAAGAGGTGAAAGCTCTGACAACAACCTGGAAAAGCAATGGTAAATACCTGATTTTATCCTCTTATTTTGCAACATTGAATGCTATTTACCTTTTGGGGACTAATATCTGTAAATAAATAGATAAAAAGTCAAATAAAACACTGTAGAGTATTAGTCCTCAAAGGGCAAATGAAAAGACACTGGCTTTCTTTACTGTATAAGCCTTTATTTGTAAAAAGTCCGTTGTTTGAATGATAACCCTTTTTATACCACATACTTGAACACCTTGTATTTGTAAAAAACACATTTTGTTCAAACACCTAAAAAAGCTGATTGACACTATAACATTAATTTGCACTGACAAAAAAAATACAACTTCATACTACACAAAATGTTGATTCCATGAGTACCAAAACTCCAAATGAAACCAAACACCTTATTAAACAACTGAATCAAATAAGCGCCCAATGTGAACAAAACAATTACAGTACAAAAAACCAAATGCATTTTTCTTCCAGTGCCAATATATCAGATGAGTTACATTTCCTTCTTATGAGAAAACAACAACAACAGTATAAGAATAACAATCCATAACAAATGCAACAAATACAACAAATCAGAAATGAACACAGAAATGAAATCAAAAATAAAATCCTTTACTGATTAATACTGAAAAATAAATGGGCTGTAAGTCTTGTGGGTTTTTTCCTCTCATTGCCAATTTTCTAAAAAGATTTGGAAAATCTTTCTTACCTACTGGTTCAACATGAGATAATCTCCCTGGTATGCTCTTTCAATCTGGGGAGGTATACTGGTGTGTAACTGGGAATCAGCACAGCTTCTTGCATGTATCATCACACAGTAATCGACAACAGACCGTAACCAGAGGCAACTTATTGAAGAGAAAATACAGGGAACACCCACTCAGTGTGCAAACACATGGCTTACGTTCAGACGCTCCTGCTGAGCATCCTTTACATCCTTTGTAGCTGAAGGGCGGCTGATGTTAATGCTTATGCTGAACCTGATAAAAACTACAGCATGCACTCGGTGCATCTATTCCAAATTGTGTGATTTACATTGAATACATTTTCCTCCAGTTTTACACACACACATTTGTTTCACAAGATTTAAAAGAGCTGGCTGTAAAACAAGTGCAATTTAAGCATGTAAACACTGGATCTTTCTTTTTCCTGGCTGTGGAGATGAACCGGATGGTGTGGAGTAAAAATATATGAAATTAAACCTCTCAAAACTCAGTTCATGCAAAACAAAACCTACAAGGTACGCACAAAATAACGAATGCACCAGCAAAAGTTCTTCCAACAGTGAGGGGTCTGTCAGCCGTGTTCTGGTGTTCGGTGGATGAATTTTTTTCGTGCATGGTGGAGGTTCACTGTTTTATTAGAGGTCAGCCTCAGTGCGATTCATAAGTCACAGTCAGCAGTTTTGTGTTTATGGGTTCAGCTTCTCATGCATATCTTTTTTGGGGAGGGCTGAAATCCCAGAGTGAAGACTGGAGTCAACAAAAAATGGCATGATTTATAACTTTAGTGGTGTTAGATCCCAGCTGGTAATTATGGCACTGGCTACACGCAACAATACTTGGCTTCAATTACATGTAAAGGACCAAGGGCATCCATGAAACTGTTCTGTGTCTTCAGTTTTTCCAGAGAACAAATTTCGATCAACACCCGCACAAGGCTTAACATTTTTAGCATATTTCCGTTAGCTAGTTTGCACAGTATTCTTCTATTAGCAACTGAGCGGCTGCTCTCGGGCAGATGGCTAAGTGCCTTGCTCAAGGGCACTCATGACTGTCTTATTGAGGAACAGGAAAGAACATCCCACTCGCCCTCTTAAGGCTATCCTGCTCCTCTAGCCTCTATAAGCCAGCAAGCCAAACATGCCCTCTCTATTTCTAGCCTACGACTCTGTGCGCTGTTGATATCTGAGGTAAACGCTGCATCTGTGCTGTGCTAAAATCTCTTTAAGTTTGGACATGGTGAATGGGAGAGCCCGTGTGGAAAGATACTAACCCATTCGTCAGGAGTGAACTAAGGCAAACTGTAATGTCCATTAATCTTCAACAGCGTTAGCATTAGCAGTAGCCTTGTTCTCACGAAACCAGACAAGGAAATACAACCTTAGAGCCACCAGAACCCCCTTCACTGTGAGAAAACTTTGCATTGATTCCTCCATTATTTTGTTCACACCGTGTATTTCTTGTGTTTCATTTTTTAGGTTTCGTTTGCAGAAGTATGCCAATGCTAGAGAAGCTGTCCATGCCATTAGCAGTGAGGCTAGCTGGTATTACGAACTGCCATGTTTTTGTTCATGCATTAAGAACTATTAAGTGAAAGATATCATATTTACAGTACAATTCACATGTAATTACACATATACACTAGAGGCAAGAAAATTCACATTGAAATCAGTTCAACACTTTTTTCTGCTCCTCTACTCCTTGAAACATATGAGTCAAAAGAAATCTATTTTCTGTCTTTTTGTTAGAAAAGATCCTAAAGTAAAGGCATAGAACAAAAGATCCTCACAGCTTTTGGGATGAATGTGCTGATTTCATGTCCAGAAAGCAGGTAATACATGTTCTGAGTGAGATGAGTGGTAATCACTGCGAGCATGCAAGGGGCTGCTAATTTGTCTCCTCTGTTTGTGTTTGAAGTTTATCAAAAAATGTGCATCAACTATCTCAAAAAGAACAAAGTATACACCTGATTAGGCATGTTTTCATCTATTTCTGGGAATTATTCAACCTGAAAGTGTCTCTGACTCTTGTGTCAGCTTGGGTAAGAAAATGTTAATAATTCTTTTATAGGATAGGACAAAATAGGACTGGGCTTCTTTTTCATTGATTTGACTTAAATTCCCACATTTTAAACACATCTCTGTTTGTCTTTTATTGGAATAAATGTACTGTTCGACCTCACAGTTTGACTCAACTCCTAAAGCTCTATCATATTGCCTTTTAACAGTTTGACAAGCTGTTAGTGTGCAGACAAGAAAATAATACAAAAAGAAAAGAAAAAAAATATCCTGCATCTATGATGAATTTCTTTGAGTCTAAAATTGTTTAGGAGTTTGAAAGTGCACAAAGGTCACCACTTAGAGCCTGAACACCCTCGATTCAGGCAACTCTAAACACATCTAGCATTAAGTGCCTCTAGAAAGAAAAAGACAACTATTTATTAGCTAGAATTGCAGCATGTTTATCTCAGGGGTTTGTGTTATTATTTCAAAGGCAACTCTTATCAATTTTACACACCCAGATGTGTTTACATGGAAGGACAGGTACATGTGTGAAAAACGTTGAAAGCCTTCTTGTCTCCAGGGAGCCGAGGGGAATCTTGATTGAACAAGTAAAAACTCTGACACAAGACTAAAATATTCCTCCAACTTTTTGTGGACAAAAACACCTCAATCCATTCAGCTGGAACTTATCCCCACAAGAAAACAAGAGGAGTATTTTATTTATGCAGCCAGAGCTTTCCTTTTGTGCTTCGATCATGGCTACTGTTTTTTTCCAAAAACACTGTTCACGATTTTGAGCTGATCATGCTACTGTTCACAGATATAAAGCCTCAAGTGATGTCACTCGAGTCGTTGTTGATCAAGGTTGAAGATTACAGATTTGGACACAAGAATCTTGGGGTTTAAGAGTCAGGGGGGAAAAGCTTTCTCATTTCTTCCTCATCTCTGCTTTAGGCTAGCAGCTAGATGCTACATTAGCTGCTACTAGCATAACACATGCCAATCCCCATCCTAACTGTAGGCAGTCTGGACGCATTTTGGCAAATGTAGGCACCAGATTTCGACCAGGATAAAACAAAAGTAGAATAAAAGAAGATATCTCTGGTTCTGCTGCATTGACTTTTGATCCTTTTGAAAATCGTTTCATTTGGAGTGCAACAGTGTTATCGGAGTGCAACGCTCAACCTGCAAAGAACTCTTTTCAATCTATAATTGGATTTTGTAAAGTGTAAAAGATTGTTGAAAAAACAAAACGGATGCTACTGTAAACAAGTTCATTGCATTTCAGTCTTAATTCACTTCCATTTGGCAACTTTTAGAAGAACTCTGAATCTGTGCACCATCACATTTGCACAAATTTGCCTTTACTCTTACCTACAGTACACGATACTCAATACATGTCCTCTATATAACACAGTGGAAACTGTTGTTAGCCTGTAGATGGTACACTTTTCAACCAACAAGCCATTTTTCTCATATATTTGCTGCTACTTTACATCATTGCTCTCATCGCTTCTTCTCGTGAGTGACAACACATTTACTTTCTTCACATTTAAGATAAATCACTATGTTTTGGTCGTGTAATCCTTTGGACTTTACAGTTGACTGAGAGACAAACAACAGACCGTTCAGTTTCAGACAGAAACATAGAGCTCACCTCGGTCCCTCCCTCCATCTAAGACCCAAACTGTATGTCGTCTTGGATAAACTGGATATTTAAAGGTGATCTTTTTATTCTTTCTACAGTACAATGATGACAATGCATAAAATTTAAACAAAATGAAATATTAAACTCTGATCACAGCTTGGGCCACATCACTGTACAAACTTCACAATGACTTACGGAGACAAATTGGTTTCTCATCAGTATTCCTTTTTGAAGGCATCTTATGCACACTGCGCCCTGCGCTCCAGAGGGGAGTGGATATTTCTGATGATAAATTGATTACTCTGCAGCCTTTCCATCTTCTTCTTCTAGTCCCCCATGTGTTTGTGAATATGACAATTTCCCTCTCTTTCTCCATTTGTATGATTCTCAGGGACCTCGCTGTGCTGCATATCACTTTATTTTGCTACAGGACACAGTGGTAGGTTTGGCTGTGTTAGTTTTCTTGCTCAGAGACTGTTGCTCCCAGTAGAGCCCGCCTGAAGTGAAGATGTCACCGAGGAAGATGCTGATCTGCACTTCAGTTGAAGCTTTACAGGCATGGGAGGATTTCAAATGTGATCTTCTGCTCTTTCTCCCCTTCTGCACTGCCTGTCATTTAGTCTTTGACTTTTATATGTTGCTAACTTGATAACAACTGTGATTAACTTGTAAGATTCCCAAAACGATAAGGTCCAAAAGTATTTACCCCCCTTTTGGATGAGCCTGAGTACTGGAAACAGTGTTCTTGTCTGTGTGCATGTGGGTTTTAGACCTTTTAACAACCCCCTGCAAAGTATTCAACATTTTTTTTCACTCTACGATAACTGAGTAATTCAAAATTAAGCTTAAAGTTTTGATTCTCTGAGTTTCAAAGCATTTTCGTGTGAAATAACCAATCCATTGCCCGTGTCTTTTACCCTTTGCTGCCTCAACAATCTTGCCTTCAGGAACCGGGACACCAACATAGAAGAAATGCTCAACAAACAAATAAATACTGTATACTGAGTGACAACTGGTCAAACTGTGGGCTGATATGTTGACTCTTCTGAATATACATGTCCTTACATATTCACTGTGGTACCATGTCCAACAAATCACAAAAGCAATCCCCCCTTTTTTTTCCTTTTTAGCAAACACAAAGCAGGATATGACGTCAATGAACTCTATGTGAACAGATCAATAGGAGGAAATCAACAGTACAAGTATACTTTCATGAGCATTTGAATGATAAATGTGTAGAATATGTTTCTTTTTTTTTTCACACAATCAAAATGAGTAATGCATACCTTTGACTCTTTTTACCTCATAATGCCCTAGCTCTAGAACATGTTCTGACACTCTCCGAAATCACAGTATTTTTCAAGACAAAATCATATCTACAATAATCAGCACTTGTTTGTAACCATAATGTAAAAGATCCCCAACCCTCCCCACCACCACCGCCCCCAAAGGATGTATTTCTAAAAATAACATGAGAAGAGAAAGGAATAGAAGTTTGCGTTGACTCTGCGGCGGTCAAACATCCCATCCAGGCGTCCCTCTAATGGAGACCGATGTCTGATAAAGAGAACAATATCACTTCAAAAAACCCAAGGAACAACACATAATCCAAACAAGGTTGCTGTACATAGTAGAACCGGATATTTCCGTGCATGTTATCCATGGGTAATGGGAAGGAGAGGGGGCGTGGGTTTGGGGGAGGGGCGTCAAGGATCTCACTCAGCTGATGCCTGAACAGACGAGCCACCAGTGATTTCATGAGCTGCAGAAGAGGACTTTTGATCACGATAAGTTGCAATAAAAAGTCGATGGGACTCTGAGACATCTTTTCTCTCAAAAGCTTCCACTTTCTCTTTTTTCTTGTTTTTTTTTTTAGCAAAAATATCATGCAGTCTTTAGTTCCGAAAACCCCTGATGGGGTCTTGTTTGTTGTTTGTTTGTTTGTTTGTTTCTTTCAGGAGCAAAATGAAACTCAAAGCCTTGAAATTCTTCTCTCACAATTATTCTTAAACATTCAAGTCATCCTATTAATACTTTGTACAGCAGAAAGGTCCTTCAGGTTTCACATGTGTATATATAAATATAATATATAGAAATATGCATATACATATTTTCAACTTGTATATGTGTATACATATTTTAGGAACTGTATCAAAGCCAATTTAATGTGCTCTCAAAATATGGCCCATGATTCCTAGTGGGATGCACATCAATTCACATAGTACAACCAGTAGATTAGGTTGAAAAATCCAAAGGTGATGGGGAAAATGACCCGGGACCACTTGTCAATGGTGCTAACATCTGACAAGTTTGGGATTTTCAACTTAAGCTTGGAGGAGCGTCGCCGTAGTCGACAGTTGGCCCGGCTCCTCATGGCGCTCCGATCCAGCGAGTGGTGGCTGAAGCCATCCCGGGGTGCCATGGGCTTCCTGAATTGGACCCCAGAGCTGTCGAAGGACATGACGGAATTCCGAGAGTCACTGACGCTGCTCCCCACGTCAGAAGGCATCACTTCGTTGTTCATCTCCAGCGTAGTGAGGAGGATGTTTCCATATGCATCCACCTGCGAGGAAAGAGAAAGGACAGGGAGTGTGAGTGAACGGAAATGTCGGCGGTGTAGCCCCAAATTCCCTCCTTTTACTCTACTTATGTTAACCCCGCCTCCCATCCCAAAAGCTGTAAAGCTAAAGCAAAATGTAGGGATGATATGGAACGTCATTTTAAGCATGCAACAGAAATAGTTAGCAATCTTTTTAGAGAAAAACTGTTAGTGTTTTTTTTTTGTTTTTTTTTTCAAAATGGTGACAAAAAGCCTTAACAATCAGACTTTTACTGTGAAGCCTGGCCTACAGCCGAGATGATTTCTAAATACATGTACCCCAACTTTTCTTTGTTCCTCGAGATACAGATTTCTTCTCTGTGTATATGACCTGAAGGTGTTGGTTTGAAACGGCGAGGAAATGGAGTCCTTGCAATGTGAAAGAAAAATGAAGAGAACATTAAAACGGCTATAAAAATCCTGGCAAATAAGTACAATTTCTTCCAAAGATTACACAATGCATTAGACACAGAGTAAACAGGTACAAGTTAGAAAAAGCATTAAATACTTCACACACAGAAAACACCAGGAGTGGCTTCATTCAGTCTGACCATGTTAGTGTAGGACTGCCAAATTAAAACTTCTTATTCCACATTTTTTTATTATATCCAGTTAGAACAAATATTACTGCACAGAAGCAGCAGACTGAGAGTGAATGAAGCCTACAGCATTACATAGACGACAACCTAAATAAGAAATGAGAATGTTAACACCACTGTTGAGCTACATGAATCATTATCTCAATGAGAGAGGCTTTGCTCGATAAGGAGCAGTCAGTGCTTGAGGGGAAGCGATGGATGATGGTCGGTGAATGCATATTGGGCTGTGGTGGCATTAGTATGCTCCTGGAAGATTACTTCAGGGAATACGGTACACTGTATGTGTCTTTGGATAAATGAAAATGGCTCCAAATCTTATACTTGTGTTGTACTTGAACTCTTACTGACACAGAGAAGTCGGGTGCAAAGAAAGGTAGCAGATGAGGATGCAAACCTGTTCCCTCAGGCGCTTCTCTTCGTATCTCGTGCGCTCGTTGTTGACTTTGTTCAGCCGATCACTGAGTTTCTTCTGTTGCGCAGGTCCCCGGCCAAAAAACACGTAATTTACAAAGGCATATTCGAGCAGGGCCAGGAACACAAACACAAAACAGCCCATGAGGTAGACGTCAATGGCTTTCACATACGGGATCTTTGGGAGAGTCTCCCTCAGGTGGGTGTTAATAGTTGTCATGGTGAGCACCGTAGTCACACCTGAGCACACACAGAGGGACAAAATTACTTTTGTTGAAGTACAAGAAAAATAGATTTCAGCATTCACAGTTTTTTCATTGAAAATACAAGATCAGCACCAAGAGAATTTACATAAAACTGAAAACAAAAATTCAACTTCTCATCAATAAAGTCCTGAGATACTTTAATTCAACCTCAAACCTGTCGCAGTACACAGACACCTACACTTCAGCCCTGACTTTTGACCTCTGTTTGAGTTATTATGTTGTTGTTGAGTTTGTGTGATTTATGTTTTATTTAGTAATATCAAACTTATATAAAAAGAAACTCTATAACAAATTTCAAAAGTGCCAACTGCAGGGATGAAAATGTAATATTTGCAATGAAATAAATGTTTGAAAAGGAAGGGATGCACAGTATCTATTAATACCGCACAATGTTGGCCAATAATGGGAACGGAAACCTGACACATGTGGGTGGTGCCCATCAAGCTACCATCATGTACAGAGATGAAGAACAAGCACAGACGCATCAAGCTGACCAGACAGCTGGTGTGTATGCTTCTTTTTCACTATTTTAGAGGAGGAGGATTACATGATTGCCAATTGCAAAGTCTGTGCTGCCAAGTATTCCTTGAGGAGAAAAAAAAGTCCTCAAGTTGAAAGTTATCTAAAAAGTTGTTTTTGCAACAGAGATTTATTTAAGAAATTAAAAGCAGCCGTAGTGAGCATTAGCACAATTAAGAGGTTGATTTAAGAAGCGTACAAAGTTCCCCGGAGTCAACTAAAAGCCAAAGGAATGAATGACTAAATCACTAAATTTACAGCACTTCATGATACATGATTTTAAAAGGAAGTATGGAATATTTAGGTACATGTACAATTTATACATTTTGGCCCATTCATTATTAGCCTTTCTTATTCTTGCTTCGTATAATCTACATTTAGGAATACAAAATGTAAAAAGTTTATAATCTTATCAGTTGCAGTCATCTGATTATTAGCAGTTACTGGCATTAAAAAAAAAACCTATAAAGTGCACCTTTAATGTTATTTAAATAACAATTATGAGTACATCATCATACATAACACTTGATTATTTCTACTGATCCACAGGTACAGTAGGAGCATTTTTGATGCTGTAGCTTGTGTGCTCAAGGTACAACTTTGCATGTAATCCAACAAAAACTTGACAAAACCAGTATGATGACCACAGAGACAATAAGTGATAATCATCGGAAACTCAAGCTCAAGTTAATGTTTAAAAAAGCCTTATAAAATGAAAAAAGATGGGTTACTGTTACTGTACCGTACAGTAGTTTAACCTAATACTAAAGCCTCTTTCTCAGTCAGTGATATTACTGATGAAGTTAATTTGACCTCAGTGTCACACAGAAAACACAGATGTCTTCATGTTGTGTTTTGTTAAATTTTTGAAGTGCAGAGTGCTTCCTCAGTCAGTCAATGAAAGTGGGCTTCATAAATAAAACTGCATGGATTACATTTTCTGAATGTTGGTTATTGTTTACTTCGAGTACACTTCAGTTAACTGACAGCCTGATCTCTAAAGAATTAATGCTAATGACTTTGGCTGGTATTCTTCTTTTGATGTTTGTGTTTTTTTTTTTAATGAAAACTGGGTTTAGCAAAATTAAGACCAACTCTAATTACTCTGTGCAAATTTATATGGTTCTTCAGGCAGAAATATGAGCTGGTCTTTGTCACAGCAGCTAAACACAGATGTACTAATTTGATTAAAAAAAAAATATATATATATATGTATAAGAAATTACGTCTGCCAGTCTTAGTCATTATATGGAATAATTACTTGACAGTTTAAAATCTACATTTGTGTCATGCAAATAATGTGATTTTTTCTATACATTTTAATGTTATTTATACAGCAGATAGTTCCATGTAAATGTAGATGAAACTGATGAGAGCCCTGAACATGTGACAGTCAGTGGCGATAGGTAAAAGTTTAATAATGCAGCTGTGGCTGTGTCTTACCCAGGGCCACCCGAGCCGCAGAGGCATCGTAATTGATCCAAAAGGAGACCCAGGAGAGGATGGTGATCAAGATGGAGGGCATGTACGTCTGCAGGATGAAATATCCAATGTTCCTCTTAATCCTAAAACTCAGTGAAAGCCTTGGATATGAACCTGTAAAAGGAAAACAGGATGGAGTGATAGTGTGAAAAAGGAGTAAGGCAGAGTCAAATCACATCAGTGGATTAAAAAAAAAAAAAGGAGAGAAGGGGGGAAACGTTGGCGCAACTTAAGACTTCCAAAGTCTGCACTTTGACAACGCGCAGGGTAGTCATTTCTCCATTTGTTCAGATGGAGCACTTAATTTCCCCAAAGCGATGGATTCCTTTCCAGGGACAAGTTCGATTCCAATTAAACATGGCAGAAAGTCGCAAACACGGCAGATTTTTCTGCAACCCCCTATCTCAGCAGGCAGCTCCAGCGTCCCTCTGAGGATTGTCACAGAGAGCTGCTCTCCTTTTCTTTCACACTCTCTGTCCTCTAAACATTACCAAAAGGGCATGTTAGAGGTGCATAATTGCATCTCATGCTTTCACACTAACAGGAGAAGGAAAATATACAGTGTGTGTTTGCCGAGGTGGAAAGTCATTCCTCTGCACAGTTTGCAGGGAAATATGAGCTTGCTGTGCCAAGGCATTAATTGCTCTTTTGACTGCACTTTAATTTAAACAAGCACAACAATACAATGCTGATGCAAAAAGCAATATAAACATCAAGGCGGGGTCTCTCCTCCTCAGATAGAGCTGGGTATTTACGAGGTTGGAAACAATACAAATTGCTCTAAATATAGTTAAGTTCCAGTCTGTGTTTTCCATCTACAGTTTTATTTCCACCATGTCACCAAAGAAGAAAGGCTTCAGATAAGCGTGATGGTTTTAATCTAAAAGGCTATTTGCTATGGGGCACACAGCATGATGAATGACCTCATCATCTCCAGGTTGCTCTAAATCTTTTAATAAATCAATACCTTAGCATACATACTTCATCAAGTGTGAGACAAACGCCTTAGATCACCCAAGTACATCGAGATTCATGCTGGCAACCAACGTTCACAGGTTTCACTAAACTCAAACATGAGGACGACACACACGTTTCAGAGCAATGAAGTTACAGTCGCACAGTTTCTCTGACAGTAACACATCAGTCTCTCACATACAATCTGCATATCATCAAATATGGAAACTGTCCCAAGTAGTGCATGGATTTATCAGTTTTAGCACACTTTTTTTCATGGTTTTGTGCTGTTCTGATGCATCTTGACAAACTTTTTTTAAGTTTTCTTTTTGGGCTTTTTGCTTTAGTTCAATACCTTGCGAGCGACAGGGAATTTGAAGCGAAAGCAAAAAAAAAAAAAAAACTCAGTCAACAGTCTCTGCGGCCTTATGTTAGATAGAGTAGGAATGATTTTAATAGGAACACTAACAGTGAAATATTCAAAGAGACATCTCCTATAAATCAACAGTTGGTACTCAAGTTGCCTTTTTTTGGAAAGCTTATCATAAAATACGAATGTGAGGAAGTGTCCACCCACAATCTGCTCTGATAAAGAGGAAACTGTCTCTCTAAATGATCCAAATGTAATCTTTGTCCCTGCAGGAATAATGTTGTGGTTATTGGTGCCCTCACTTATGCTGAGCATCCACCAAATGATTTTCACAGTCCCAGACTAAAAACTGAAAGTCGTCAGTAAATCTTGGGAGTTTTACTGGAGTCACAGCGGAGTCACAGCGGAGTCACAGCATGCTCCCGTCATCTCCATCGTTAAATTTAAGATGGTAATCTGCGCTGTTTTACATCAGTCTTTCCCTAGTCTTGGGTTTGCGACAATATCAAACATGTTTGATATTATCTTAAGTTGCAGTGACGTAACACACAAACAACCAATAAATGAGCTCTAGCACAAAAGGAAACCTAACACTCAAAACAACAAGAACAAGAAGTACAAATAATTAGTGGCGATAAAAAGGAGCAGATACTGGAGCTGTGGTCAGATTAGACTTGCCTGTTTCACCAACATGTAATGGCACACTGCCACGGCTAAATAAAAGCTGCCATACCTCAACAGTAATGTTTTTTTACGCGCTACCTTGGACTCAGTATGTGTCTGTATATATGTGTCTATATGCGGCGCACACGGGCTGCACTGCACGGCGCGCGTGCCAAGTATTAGCATTAGCCATTTCAGAGTTGTCATATACGAACACACAGCTGATTAATAAGCCACCCACTTCAAATCACACACCACCGCAAATAGAGTCCTCACCAGTGGACTCTTTTTTTTGACACTGAACTGTCAAAAAATGCGAAAAGAATCTAGTTTCAGTCTTACAAATAATGACCCTGCAAGATTCACAGTCTTCGTAAAATCTCAGTCTGAGACTAGGCTGTGACTAAAAACTCTAAACACTTGTCTTTAGATGTGAGCTGATAGTTTTCCAGGAGTCTTTTCCAAATCTTCTCAAAGTCCTCTGGTGGACAGCTGGCAATAGGGTGGTGACAAAGTTCTTTGGTGTGTATAAAGCAGGTAAGACAAACACATTTAAAACAGCCTTACCTGTAGTGAACCTGACCTCCCTGGACACAAGGCGGATGTCTACGATGGAGAACTGAGGTAACTCCAGTTTGTCCACACCCGTCACAGCGTTGTCGTCTCCTTGCCAGAAAAACTTGATGTCATCTGTGGTGTATCCGTCTGTGCAGAGGGAGAAGACCCGGTTACTGCTAAAGACCTGTTTCAGTACTCAGTTTTTGTCAAAAACTGTTCATGAGACAACTATTAAAATTTACAACAAAGTAATTAGACTTTCTGTTGGATGTAGTAATAGAGGCAGAGCCTCTGTTTATCAGGCCTCTCTCTTTAAAAACCATTACAAGTCAGTGTCTAACAGAAGGTGGAAAACTGTTTTAGGTTTAAAATGTTCCTTAGTAACGAAGCTTACAGCTGGTTCTGGTTTAGGATCTGCTTCTGTTATGCTGCTATAGACTTAAGACTACTCAACACACTGTCTTTCTCTTTTTTTCTCTTGCTCTCTTCATCACATTTATGCATGTCACAAACCATACATCTTTAGGGGCATCTTTAAGTTCCTGTGGATCTATAGTCTGCTGCTGTGGATCTACTTTGTTCCACCTGCCACAACTTTTAATATCAGTCTCATATTATCATACTTATTTTGCTCATATCTCACATATTTCTGCAACTATCATTAATGTTGTTGCCACTAGTTTATGTAAATCACAGTTTTTGCTCTGCCCATTAGTCTCTATCGCTCTCACTCTCTAAGTCTCGCTCTATCCCACTCTCTCAGCCCATTTAGTCATAGCTGATGACTGTTTACCATGAATTTGGTTCTGCTCAAGGTTTCTGCCGGAGTTTATTTTGCCACTGTTGCACAAATGATGGCGCATTTGTGTTGAATCGCTCTAAAAATCCTGACAGCCTGTACCTGCCTTTTCTTAAGTGTCCTGAGATCACTCCTCTCTTGATTTGGTGCTATATGACTAAAAACTAATTGAATTATTGATGCTGGTGAACATCATAGTACCCTGTAAGACCTCAACAACATAATGAATGACTCACTAAATCAGGGAAGCCACCCAAAAGGTTAAGTAAAAACAATGGAACTAGCTAAACAAACTTAAATGGATATTCCGGCGTAAAATTAATTTAGGGTCAAACACACCGTAACACTGAGTTAGACACCCCCTCGAGAGACTTCTTCATGGAAATGCAATCAGACCGAGACGCTAAGGCAGAAGAACTACCATGTCTGCACTGCAAAATGATTAATATGGTGATTACTACTTCAAAGAAATGATCAGAAATGTTCTTCCTTTAGCTGTATCACCCCGCAGCAGTCTGTAACTGACTGGCCTGAGGTCTCGCTACAAACAAGCGGCTGCTGGAAGAGAGTAGGTGAGTTGTGTTTAGTCTCTTTGCTAAAGAAATTAGGCAAAGTTCAAAAGATGTTTGGTGGCTAGTGCTATGGATGGGACCCTATATGTACTGTTGATGAAGTTAGGTGCTGTTCTCAGCATTATTTGTGGCTATAGAGTGGCTTTTCAGTTGATGTTTGTTTATGGCTCCTCAGACTGCAGTGTACTGCTAAGTTGGTATAACTAGAGAAGCAAGCGGTCGGCAACATTCATCTCTTAAGGTGATGTCTAACTCGGTGTTACGGTGTGTTTCACCCTAAATTAAATTTATGCCGAAATATCCCTTTAAATAGTGAAATTGTTGCATTTCCTAAAGCTGCTCAAAAAACATGGCTTAAAAAAAATACATCCTTAGTAAGTGGAAAACACTGGCACCTCTGACTGATACCTGCTTATTCCCCTTTCCTGTAATCACATGCTCCACTGTCCATCTCCTATGCAGCTATAACCTTGCATGCATTACCAGCTGCATGAATATTTATTAACATGTGTCACTTGCTACAGTGCTCCCACTCATTCTGCACCGGCTGAGCAATTGAAAGTGACCACAGTGGTAGATTTATGTCAGTAGGGTAGTATGCATTCACTGCAGAGCCATTCCTCAGTGCGGGAAGTGTTACTACATTTCACATCCCCCAACCCTACGTCCAGACCTGGATGGCATTAGACTCAGTAAGAGACCTGGATTCATTACCATTAAATCTCTCTCTGAGGTTACAGGGTAAGCAAATGTGACATTGTCCATGAAACTGAAACAACTGCCGACCTAATCGATCAAACTGACACTGAATGTGCTCGAGTCCCACCAGTGCAAAGCACAAACAGCAGATATTCTTGCAACTTTTTAATTCATGGTATATCCATATTTCAATGCCCACTGATGTCCCTGAGGGTAAACACCCGGCCCTTCTATCCTGAACAACAAGAACTGCAAATATCTGCTATATCGAGCAAGCAGAGTGATTGATGTTGTGGTCAATGAAAATGATCAAGCAAATACAATTTTTAATTACAGCAGCAGCACATTTTCTCCTGGATATTGATTTATCTAAATTAAAGCATTTAGAGAAAAAAGGGGAGACATGAAACAATGCAATTATAAGATACTGTGTGATATAATGTGAAGTCTCATTTATTTCCTCCTTTTTTATGCGTATACTGAACTGTTTATACCTTCACATAAACATATAAGGATTTTCTTTAAAGAGTCAAAATATCAATTTATTAAACTTTCCCACATTTAAAAAAAAATGTATTATGACTTTACCAGGGATTATGGAAATAATTATGAACAGGCTATCTCAGCACTAAAATTTTATTAATATATTTCATAACTGTCTTATGACATTTTAGCCATTTTTTGTTTAATCTTCTTCAGGCTTTTGTGCCTTGCTTCGATACCTTTGTTACCCAGCTGCTTTGTAGACTTGATAATTATTGGTCTAAACACTGTAACACCATTTCTAAAGCGCAAAAGCTATGCCGAGAACAAACACCCTGCGTACGTCACACATATTCCAACATTTACATCCAAGAGAGTGGAATATTCATTAATCATATGGTTTTACTTCTTCCTCTTGACAATGTGGCAAAAACATTAGTTTCAGTTTTATTTGTCAGTAGTAAATGGATGATGACTCCACAGCATTAGAAAGAAGACATGAGACAGTAAAGGATGTTCAAATACACAGTAGACCAAGTAAAAGAGACGTCTACCAAATTGAAGAAAACAGCAACATGGTACGGTCTTTGGCAATGATACAAGTCTGGTTCAGCAAATTAAGAGCTGTGGGGATGAGGACCTCACACAGCAGGAAAAAAAGGCCAATGCTCAGACTAGACTGAAAATGCTGAGTTTAGTGTTTGTTCGCCCTGTAAGTAGACTGATAAAAACACAATTTGTTTGTATTATTAGATAATAACCAAGTTTTAAGCAGGATAATGTATAGAGAGGGGGTTATTACGCGAAATAGACTCCCAACAGGGTGAGACGAGACCTCAACACAAAATAAGAAGGTCTCGTCTTACCCTTTCTCGTGTTATGTTTTCTCTGTCATAACGCTTTTGATCTTTTATATGAAGCACCTTGATTTTTTATTTTTCTGTTAAACTTTGTGATATTCAGTAAATAAACTTGTTTCGCTGACCTTTGATTTTGACACCTCTCTCCTTCTTATATCTTGTTTGATTCTCTTTACAGGAATGCAACACTAAATAGTGTATCTGCTATATTTTGTTATACTCTCAACAACAAATAACCATAAAAAAAGGTTGTTTTGACTGCAATTGATGGTTTGGAAACCACAGCCAAACTCTATCTTTTGATTATTGTCTGTAAATTTCTTCCCTCTTTTTAACAAAAACAAACTATTGCAACTTGTCTGGAGTTAAAACTGGGTCTTTTTTTTTTAAATCTAAGTTACTGCCAAATATTACACAAATTTAAATTTACAAAACCTTTTGTGCTTCTATATACAAACTGGCTATCACACCCTCTCTACTGCTTCCCGCTACAGAGTCGAATATTGTCTTGTTGTTTTGTCAACAAGGTGATCACAGATCCTCTCTCTTTACTTGGCAACACCACAAAACACTAAATTCTTCTTTGGAATAACTAGTAGATACGTTTGGGTTTCATATTTATTAAAAATGCTGGATACTTTTTCACTGAACCAAATACTCAAATATATCTACATGCTGCTCAGCTCCTTAATGAACCTCCCCTGAATCAGGTGCTTAATGGCACTTCACCAATAACTAATTATTTGCACCTATTAGTCACCAATGATGTGTCCTATGTACAAATTATTCATTAAAATGATTACAGAGGACGTGAGCTAATATTAAACTACATTTACTCTGGAGCAGTATGACACTTATGTAATTTAGAGGTTAAGAGTCACACTGAGGGTCAGCTGAGGTCTTCATATGAATGCCATCATTTTGCCTTTAGCCTGCAATGATCCAGCAGTGCCCTGTCCATCTGTCACTCTGAAGAAACAGTAATCAATGCACATCAGCAAAGCTCTGAAATTGTACCCCTATACCTATGGCAGTCATCAGTAACAACACAAATATATGAGGATGTCTTTCAAAATTTCATAACTGTTCACTTTTGACAGTTCAGTGTGATACACTAATTTTTCTTTTTCTTTTACTGGTAATGTCATACTTCTCTATCTATGTTACCGCTGTGTCAAATAAACATGCTGCTTTTCAAGTGTTACTTACAGCTTTCAATTTCCAGTGTGCAGTTCTGTTCGTCAAGAGGGTATCTCCTCAAGTCCATCATGCAAGCAGCGGTGGTGGTTATTCTGAGGAGAGAAAACAAAGACACAACTTACTGTATGTGAAATCATGATGACATAAAGTAGCCTGAATTATTCCCTCATTCAAAGGTTTTAAGACCCACTCCGATGAAAATCATGTTTTTCTATTTTTTTAACATGTTCATATGGCATTTTTCTGATACTAGAGAACATATCATGAGAAATGTGAAATTGCTTTTCTGAGTATTTCTTCATTCAGATCGCTGTGAATCTCTGGCAGACCCAAACAGCAAGTTCAGAAACAGTGAGATTTCATATGTAACCAATCCAAGCTCCGCCCCTGGGGCCCCCCTATGCAGGCCACCCTCTTCATATTTCGGAGAAATACAGAGGACGATCGCGGAACAAGCGTGTGCATTAGTGGATTGCAATGCTCATAAGAAAGCTAATCATGATATCAGCTTTCATCGTGTCCCTAAAGACATTGTTTTACTTATAATCTTTTCTTATTTTATCTCTCAGGTCCTTCATTGATTTTAATGTTTTTTTATTTTCCTTTATTTTATTTCATATATATATATATATATATATATATGTATATATATATATATATATATATATATATATATATAATTCCACTTTATCATTTATATTACCATCATTATTATTTTATTATTATTATTAATATCCTCTTTTATACTTAATAGCCTGTTTCCTATCCTCCTTTTCTATTTCATTTTATGTTTTTATTTTTGTCCTCATGGTCCCATTTATTTTGTAGGGTTCTTGTATTGCCTGGGTTTCTTACAAAAAGTGAAACAGGCCTACAATTCAGAGGCCTGTTTTTAACTGAGCTTTTGTTTTTATGTGTTTTTATTTTCATGTGCTGATGTTCTGTGCTTGCAACTGTTGTCTAAGCACTTTGTAAACTTCTGTTTTTAAAGGTGCTATATAAATAAAATTATTATTATTATTATTACAGTCTGAGAGCTGAATAGCTCCTATGTTACCTGCCACTTCCACTACACCGGCAATGTTAGGCTACAAGCTCATTTAAAGAGTAGTGTGAAGAGAAGAGGAGTGTGCAGAGCAGCGCTGTCTCCGCCCACGACTCAGAAACAAATTGCCAATGATCTACTGAAGCTCTGCAGAAGAAAAGGCCTTGAAAATGACACAGGTAACGGGATTTTCAGTAAAAACCTTACAATCACAATTTAAAGACCACTGAGAACACTTGAAGTAGTAAAAAAAAACAAAAACAATTGGAGCGGGACTGTAAGGGTTAGGAGAAAGGGTCATGGTGCGGAGCATCAAGGACACAACTTTCAGTCATGTGATGAAAACATGGACAATAGGCAGCAGCAGTTCAATAAATCAAAGTTACTTGTTTTTATCATTTGAAATGAATTGCCTGTTCTTTTATCTCTCAAAGCATCATGAAGCTAGAGATTAAACAAAGCACCACACTCTTGGGATCATTTCTTTGTTTTTTTGAATGATTTTCCTGCTTTTTTCCCAAAGACTCTTAAATGTGATTCATTTTTATGTTCCCGTGTGCAGCATTGTATTTTATGTGTATTACTAACTGCTCAGCATCTGCAGTTTTGTCAATGCTGCGTGTTATTTATTGTTAGTTCCCACTATGCGTTTCTGCCAGGTAGTTTTAGAAAAGATGTATGCATAGCAGTTTATGAATGTCAATAAATCCACTAGCCCAAGAAAAAGCAGCTTTGGCTACAAATTACATGTGTAGAGGTCTTTGGCATTTAACTGAAATATTTACCGGTGCAGCACATTTTGGTAATTACATTTCTGCTGTTCATACCAGCTGCTGTGTGTTCATCACACACTTACTGCCCTCCTGTGTAAATGAAATAGAAAAATTAATTTCCAGCTCATCATCTGTGTGTCAGAAGCCAGCAGCATGTTCAGAGGGGAGGTTTTGATGTGCACAGTGTGTGTCTATGCGTGCATGTTAGTGCATGATGGGGGGGATATGAAGTTTTACCCTTTAAAGCAAGTTTCAGAGTCTGGATGCATTATTAATCATATTTAAGCCAAAGCCACCAATGCTGCTCCTGTGTGTGGTTTACGCTAATGCAGCGGGCAAACATGCACAACCATCTACTTTACATTACCTGGAATTAGTAGTACAGCAGATAACAATAATAAACTGTTCGCACTGGAAATATATTGCCAGAACAAGGAGTTTTGTAAATTGGTCATGGTGGGTGAACAGCGTGCTGTCGTGAGGTAATTGGAAAACAAAATATGATTCTGCTCGAGCTGATTGGGCCGGATGAGCACATGTGGGGGCCTCCGAGAGCATGATAGCAGAAGGCACCAGAAGGCTAAAGAAAATAATACATAAACAAAATATGTGACAGGTTTTTATATTTATTATTCACAGTGACACTGAGCTGCATTCTGCTGCACAAGCACTAAGCTGCTCAAACTGCATTGTGTTGTGCTCGACTGTGCTGCACCTCCCTGCTGTCTCACTATGCTGCTCTGCTCTGCTCTGAGTGTGCAGCAGGACTACAGCTCTACACACTGAGGGGAGATAACATCAGGCCTAATTACATTTACAGGAAAGGTCAGTTGGCCATCAGGATTATCTAGACTAATCGTGGAAAAAAAGAAAAGAAAAAAAGGAGAAGCTTTTTCTTTAACATTTCTCTCAGTTTGTGTCAATTTTACTTAAATATATGGGAAAAATTCCAAAATCATAGCTTCAGTGATGCAAAGGATGAGGGATTTTCAAAATTGTGTCACATTTCTCCTCTGTTTCTATTCAGGGTTCGACTGTCAGCAACTAAACTGACTACGATGTGTGAGGTTTTTTCTTTATACTGCTGGGGTTTCCCACTTAAACAACCAAAAACACCGATGACACCATTATGTTGTAAAGTATGACACAAGTTGTTGTCTTTAAAGACCCATCCCAATGAAAATCATGTTTTTCTTGTTTTTTATATGTTCATATGGCATTTTTCTGATGCTACAGGACATATCATGAGAAAAGTAAATGCATCGCTGTGAATCTCTGGCAGACCCAAATGACAGGTTCAGAAACAGTGAGATTTCTTATGTAACCAATCCAAGCTCCGCCCCCGGAGCAGGCCACACTCTTCATATGGAGAAGAAATACAGAGGACAGTACAGAGACAGTTAACGTTACTATAAAGCTCGTGAAGAACTTTTTATTTATGTCAATAATGGCGCCTCCTGTGGACAAAGTGGTACCTCTCCATCTTCACTGATCTTGTTCTATGTATGTGTTATCTGTGTTTTCACAACAAATATCCTCTGCTTTCTGTTCTCAGTGAAATGAATTGCTCACTGTGAATATTTGTTGTGGGGGAATAAGAAAAATAAAACTAGTTCTTCAGCCTGCTTTATACCACCTCTGATGACTACCCCCAAAGCTGAAGTTCCTCACAGGAGCTTTAAGTGATATCCAAATAGATTGGATCATCATTTTCCTCATCCTCCCCAAAGCACCTCTAAATTCTTCTGCTCAGTCAATGGAGTGGCGCTAAATCAGTTTATAGATTGTCCTTTTCACATTTCAGGAAAAAATACATTCTGATAAAGTGAAAATCAAATCAGATCAATGAAACATGGATCTATCCACAGCCAGAATCAATGTGCTTAAGCTGAAGGTGACCTGGGAGGAGACACTGAAACAGATAAATCATTTAACTTAACTTGTCATGTACGTGTTCTCCAAAAACTACAGGTTATAGTGAGTGACATTAAACTAAATAAACCAACAAGCCACTTTTACAAACAAAGAAATTCAAAGTGACACTGCAACATGCAACTTCTGCATTTTCAATGTCTGGGCAACCCACGCTGGGTGGAGATGAAGCCAAGGGTGTAGCATGACTTCATCACATCTTTTCTGAGTAACTGGGACTTTAGTGTAGATTCATTGCCGGCCTTAAGTTGATTTGGCAGACACTGATAAAGTTTTAAAGAGCAGGTACAGCTTGAACATGAGATAGAAAAAGAAAGCAGCCTCCCCTTTAATTATGGTGTATCCCTATTAGTGCATGTAGTTAGATCAATCAAGAACACGCTTAAAGGCAACATACTATATGCTTATGTTAAGTTTCTTAGGAACTTACTGCTTAGAAAGTGAATGGTTTTTTGACAGCATTTCATCCCAATAACACCCTGGATGAGGAGATGGTGATTTTATAAGTCTAGAAGTAGATTTCCTTCTCTGGAAGGACATAATCTACCGCTTATATGGCTAGCCTATGTGGCTAAAGACAACTTGTTATTGCATGATTGCATATGAATCCTGGTTCTCGTGAGATTCCTGCCGCCCGTATCTGCCACAAAATTCGTCTCAAAAACGGATCCGGTAGGAATTGGCATAGGGTGAAAATTGCCGCCATTCCAGATCGGAGTTGTTCCAGATGTGGTGGAAATTCCAGGTTATGGGCAAAACCCACAGGATCCGGAACGGCTCTGCTCTGCTCCAGCACGGCAGGTGGAACAAATACACAAGCATTATGAATAATGTGTGTCATTCCACACAATCCGTCCGCTGTCCGGCTCCACTGTGGATCAGCTCAGGCGGCCGGATCAGATATGCAAGGCTTCTATTTCTGCTGGATGCCGGCTCACAGCACATCAATTCAGTGCAGCGCAACACGAGCAGCAGCGGAAGTTGTATGCTGTTACAGAGTAAATTTTCAAAATAAAAGAAAGTCAATATGTTGAACTGTTTTTAGCTTGATAATAGGAGAGGCCAAGGTTGTGGGATGTGGGTGTTTATATACACGCCCTATATATCTATACACCGGTTGGTGGATCTCATTCAATGTCTCACGGGTAAACACGCGAGATCTCGTCCAGTCTCGCAAGAACTATCAGTAATATCACAAGAGCTTCTTCTCCGATGGCAGAGGCGGATTGAATCCGGTGGGCGCTCTATGCTTACATATTTGATCCACCTGCTGGTACAGAGTGGAGCAGAGCCGTTCCGGATCCAGTGGGATTCCCGGGTCATTGCTGCAGCCTTGAAAAACATTGAAAGGATCTCCATATGAAAAAATAAGGCGAAGTTACAGAGTAGCCCTACAGAGCCCTGCCCAAGAACTGGAGCTGCTGCTCAGTCCTGTATGATTTCAAAGAGAACGACTGCTCCTGTCAGCACACAGTTACTGCTCCTAAAAGACAAACCCCTGCTAGCACAGTGAAGCAGTGAAACTCCTGCAGAGGCAGCAGCTCCAAGTATTGGACAGAAATGAATTCTTTACCTCTTGGCAGGCAGAGAGGAAGAAGGGATGAAAAAAACCACTATGAATAAAACGGACTTTATATGTGACAGTTAACAAGTGAGTAGAGAATCATCAGTGAGCGGGCACGTGTTGGGATGGCTCACGGCGAGGAGCTGGGATTTGGAAATGTCAGAAGATGTAGGTCAGCAAGTTAGAGTCCCAGCAGAGAGGGTCAACAGCAGCAACCTCAGACCTGAGCAGACACTGCAGGAGGACACTCGGCACTCTCTTCTTACTTTGGACACCTCAACATGATATACATAATGAGAAGGTTTGGAAAAAAGGTGTCCTCAAAGATTCAGCCAAAGTTAGACAGAGACCTTAGCTGATCTTAGTTTGTCTGTTTAAAGTTGGTAATCTGGCATTTTGTCATAAAAAGGAGGTCCTCTAGGCAATATGTCCATGTGATGAATTCTGAAAGATTTGTCATGGTAAGTGAGTCCCTCCTCGATGTCTGTGATAAAAGTATGAGGATGTTGAACTAGTCTATAGTTCCAGTGTGTCCACAGCTTTTTAAGTCATAGAAATTAAAGGACAGATTTAAGATTAGGCCAATTGGGTAATAGCTAGCCGCTGTAATGAATCAAATGTGAGATTGTTTTCCACTAAGATACATCGGACAATAGTGGGATCATTACCGTCGATATCCAATTTAAAGGGATATTCCGGCGTAAAATTAAGTTGGGGTCAAACACACCGAGTTAGACACTCTGTCTAGAGATGAATGTTGCCGACTGCTTGCTTCTCTAGTTATACCGACTTTAGTAATGACCAGACGATAGCAATACAGAGAGCCACGCGCTCAACCAAAATGCCACTCTATAGCCAAAAATAATGCTCAGAACAGCACCTAACTTCATCAACAGTACATATAGGGTCCCAGCCATGGTACTAGCCGCCAAACATCTTTTTTTAGCTTTGTTTGATTTCTTTAGCAAAGACACTAAACACAACTCACCTACTCTCTTCTAGCAGTCGAGCCCATCAACTACAGCGGGGGGATGTAGCTCAAGGAAGAACATTTATGATCATACTTCATGGAAATGCAATCAAACAGAGACGCTAAGGCAGAAGGACTACTGCATCTGCAGTGCAAAATGATTAATATGATGATTATTTATTCAAGGAAATGATAACGTAATGATCATAAATGTTCTTCCTTGAGCTGCGTCACCCCGCTGCAGTTGATATACACTCACCGGCCACTTTATTAGGTACACCATGCTAGTAACGGGTTGGACCCCCTTTTGCCTTCAGAACTGCCTCAATTCTTCGTGGCATAGATTCAACAAGGTGCTGGAAGCATTCCTCAGAGAGCTTGGTCCATATTGACATGATGGCATCATACAGTTGCCGCAGATTTGTCGGCTGCACATCCATGATGCGAATCTCCCGTTCCACCACATCCCAAAGATGCTCTTTTGGATTGAGATCTGGTGACTGTGGAGGCCATTTGAGTACAGTGAACTCATTGTCATGTTCAAGAAACCAGTCTGAGATGATTCCAGCTTTATGACATGGCGCATTATCCTGCTGAAAGTAGCCATCAGAAGTTGGGTACATTGTGGTCATAAAGGGATGGACATGGTCAGCAACAATACTCAGGTAGGCTGTGGCGTTGCAACGATGCTCAATTGGTACCAAGGGGCTCAAAGAGTGCCAAGAAAATATTCCCCACACCATGACACCACCACCACCAGCCTGAACCGTTGATACAAGGCAGGATGGATCCATGCTTTCATGTTGTTGACGCCAAATTCTGACCCTACCATCCGAATGTCACAGCAGAAATCGAGACTCATCAGACCAGGCAACGTTTTTCCAATCTTCTATTGTCCAATTTCGATGAGCTTGTGCAAATTGTAGCCTCAGTTTCCTGTTCTTAGCTGAAAGGAGTGGCACCCGGTGTGGTCTTCTGCTGCTGTAGCCCATCTGCCTCAAAGTTTGACGTACTGTGCGTTCAGAGATGCTCTTCTGCCTACCTTGGTTGTAACGGGTGGTTATTTGAGTCACTGTTGCCTTTCTATCAGCTCGAACCAGTCTGGCCATTCTCCTCTGACCTCTGGCATCAACAAGTCATTTCCGCCCACAGAACTGCCGCTCACTGGATATTTTTTCGGACCATTCTCTGTAAACCCTAGAGATGGTTGTGCGTGAAAATCCCAGTAGATCAGCAGTTTCTGAAATACTCAGACCAGCCCTTCTGGCACCAACAACCATGCCACGTTCAAAGTCACTCAAATCACCTTTCTTCCCCATACTGATGCTCGGTTTGAACTGCAGGAGATTGTCTTGACCATGTCTACATGCCTAAATGCACTAAGTTGCTGCCATGTGATTGGCTGATTAGAAATTAAGTGTTAACGAGCAGTTGGACAGGTGTACCTAATAAAGTGGCCGGTGAGTGTATATGTACTGTTGATGAAGTTAGGTGCTATTCTGAGCATTATTTGTGGCTATAGAGGGGCGTTTTGGTGGTGCATGTGGCTCTATCGTGCAGTTGTTACTTAAGTAACAACTAGAGAAGCAAGCAGTTGGCAACATTCATCTCTCGATGGGTTGTCTAACTTGGCGTTACAGTGTGTTTGACCCTAACTTTATTTTACGCCGGAATATCCCTTTAATTTCATTCCAAGAACTTAATTTATCAGTAGAAGACTTTATTTGTAGAAAAGCATCAGTGCAAACACCACACAGACTAACAACAAAAGTAGACAACACACATGTGCAGCAGCTTTAAAAATGTTTAAAATGTCACCAGTGAGAGTAATTTAGACTTGAAAAATATGTTACAAGAGAAGATGCCACTAATCTGAAATGCTAGTTTTCCTGGAATGTCTGAGGCCAGCAGGTGAATATGAGTGTACGGTTCTATTACAACAACAGCGTTTAGGCTCAGAGCCTGAGGAAGGAGAAACCCCTTAATTCAACAATGAAAGGTGCAGTCCGCTCATTCCTACAGGCCTCTTCTGGCTTTCCAGACCATGAATCGTGCCAACATCGCATGAAAACTAAAAGCAGTGTGGAGGTGGATCCCAGAGGCTCTGCACTACAGACCGCGAGCGAGGCTTTCAGATATGTGAGCAATAGTTTTGACACCTACACAGTCTGCTCCTGTATCCCTGTCTGTGAGGTGTCTGGCTTACTAAAGAGGATCATAGTACTACTCCACGCTTTCACAAACAGAGGAACATGAGAGAGCACACTCGCAGGACTAGGAAGAGAGAAAAGCACCATCTGGACAGAGCTGAGCTCAACAAAGCTCTCAATGCTCTCAGGAGTCGATGCACTGTACCAGACTAGATTGTCAGCTTGCTAACGATGATTCAGCCTCTCGACTCACTAGTGAGTTAGAAAAAGCTGCTCCATCATGCACACACCGCGCCGCACACTTTCTACTGACACAGACTTCTTTTATTGACGTTTGGAGCGACTTTATTTGTTTGCAACACCCAGACACTGTCCTGCAACTTCTGCAGCACTCAGCATCCTCGCTTCCAAAATAGAGATAAAGCATGAGATAAATCTGGCTACTACACATCCCAAGTTTACAATTACAACAATATAAACAGGCTCAAAACATCATTAATTCTAGGCAGATGACCACAGCTCAAGATTTGTTTTGACCTACTTTAAACACGCACCATTACACCTCTGCCTCTGGATTCTAACTATGCGTTTAGAATAATCATTAAAAATTCATAGCTTTGGGCTGCTGGCTTACTCAGCTGGTAGAGCAGACGCCCGATATACGGAGGCTACAGTCCTCAATGCAATAGTCCTGGGTATTACCCCAACCTCAGCCCTTTGATACATGTCTCCCCAGCTCTCTTCTTTAAGGCAACAAGACCCAAAATATCACCTTTAAACAAAAATCACAGTTTCAACTTACTTTCTTTTTAGTGATGGTTTTATTTTAAAACCAGTACTCCTCAGTAAAAATGAGTCTTTGCAAGTATAAACAATATCTTCTTACTTTTCACCCCAATAAGATTTTTGCATATTTTACACATTAGGTCAAAAAAAAAACAAAAAAACAATTGGCCTATCTGACAATTTTTAGGTCCAACAGACAACTACCTCTGATATTCAGGGGAAGTGTTTCGAGTTATGGCCACTCCTTTCTTTGAATCTGATTGGCGCAATCAAAATCCTAAACTGTGATTGGTTATTTGTTTTGATAGAGATGGGATTTAAATTAAAATTAATTTTTTTGGTTGGTGCACAGACTACTCTACATTTACAAAGGCTGTATGCTCTTTTTTGAACTGTCTGACATCCATGTCAGAGCAAAGTTTGGATTCTTAGTGGATTTTTAGTGATCCGGATCATTTGGCTCATCAAGAACCAGATTTTTTGATTCACCTACTGTATCTACACACCAAGCTAGAGTAAAATCAGTCATGCAAATCAATTACATGTTAAATCAACGCAAAGACATGATTAGACGCTCCTACTACTCTGGTGGTGTAAATGACGCAAATTAGGCAGGAGCTGAAAATGTCTCATCTTGAGCTGATAACCTTTTGGTTTATACCACAAAAGGTTGCTGCTTGGTTTGCACACCAATTTAGTGCTAAGTCAGCTCCTCTGATAGAATACCCACACAATCAAACAAACAAACAAAAAACACTATACAAGACCATGTACAACTCGTCCTGAGTAACTGTAATTTATGACATGACTAACGTTGTAATAAAGAATATGGTAGTAGAGTAAAATATAAAATATCCTTGTTTATGTGGAAGACTTGAAGTATAAAACCGTATAAAACTGTACTTCAGTCACTCCGCTGTAAAAGGAGTGTGTGGCACAGCGGAGTGTATTGCTGATAACTGTGCAGGCTGCTTCACCTAATCACTGTCAATGCATTCAAATATAGAAAAATAAGCAGTAAGGAATTATAAATAAACCCTAAATTGCAATTTAACAGCAGGAAACAAGCCTGATTTTTGTTGTTCTTTTGTTGATTTCTGAGCATTAACAGTAAAAAAAATTTTGTTAATATATTTTGGTGCTGAGAATTCACAGTTTTTAATTCTGACCAGGAGAACCAGGAATAAACAAAAGAGGACACAGCTGAAAAGGAGAGAAGGTCAGATTGTTCTAAAACTGATCACAACAATAACAATGACGATCAACAAAGTTCAGCTCAGTTGAAAGTATCTGTAAGTACTAGATATCAAGGTAAATAATGGCTAAAAAGAAAAGGTACAAACAGCAGCAGTCTCAGCACATTTCACAGTGAGTGGAGAGGTGAGAGCGCAGCACCAGGTGCAGCAGTGTGTGTAATGTGATTGTCCACAGTTTGCATTTTACTGTGCTCGAGAGTAGCACTGGGGACGGATTCAAACTGGCGGTCTGCACAAGAAAATGCATTTAAGGCAACAAAAACCTCCAGCGGTCAAACTTAAGAGGCGAAACATTCAAATGAACCGAGAATACAACATCTATTGTTATGCTGTTCTTCTAGAAAAAAATGTCCACACAACCCTTGGGCAAAGTCAAACATTTGAACAAAGCGATTTAATTGCACGCTTACAGGAGGCTTGTAAAGGTCCTGAAATCACCACTGCATGCAGATTATACACTGCTTCTAATTACTGTACGCTGCAGAAAAACAGTCTGAGGACAGATCCAAGGGCTTGACGCCACCTGCCTTTTACTATAACTGCAGTGTGTGATGCTAGCAGTAAAGCTCTGTGCGGAGTGCTTCAAGATGAGATGTTTGCAGAATGTTATTGTCCACAGCAATGTCTCAGCTTTCTGTTTCATGCAGGCACGATGCCAGCAGAGGTGCAAATGCAGGTGTAACGCCGTTTTCTTCTGGCACAGGTCCATTTCGCTCTATGCTTGGGTCTGCCTGGTACTATCATGGAGAGGTGGATGTGCTGAAGTTCTGCTGGGAGTGTCTGTTCAGCTCAGTTGGTGCAGACTGGAGAAGTTTCCAGTGATCCGGTTTACATCTGCTATTATACGTGGCCAAGGCACTTACGTCACCATGATGTCAGCGTGATCACGTTTGGAGTATGGGTTACAAATCGTTATTTCTCTATCCTGGTTGACAGCTAGCCATAACAACTTGTCCCTCACAGGCATAACTATAAAAGCATGGGCAACACAGCAGCTACCCTGAGTGAAGCCAAAACCTTTAGAGGTTTCGCAGGTGACTACCTGTAGCCATTGGTGATGAAGGTTAAAGCCTGACTTGTCTCTTTACATCCTGCTCGGTTGACCATCTTTGGACCGTGTCAGTTGGAGAAACCAATGGGTGACATCACTGAGACAGCATCCATGTTTTTTACTGTCTTTACCACTGCAACAGGCCATTGCCAACTGAGATGGTAGTTTGGCTTCCATCAAACAATGGAAAGGGATGGAGGTGCACTGTCTCTATTGATATCATGTATTGTGGTCATAAGAAGGCACACTCTGAACATTCCCTGTTTTTTCATTGACTTGGCTTTAAAAGAGACTCTGACTTACAAAATAGACATTATCTTGTTGTCGATCAATAACGGCTAAATTCCACAGGATCTGGAACGGCTGCACTCCGCTCTGGAACGACAGGCGGATCAAATATGCAAGCATTTTAATCAATGTGCGTGATTCCACACAATCTGTCCGCTGTCAGGTTCTGCAGCGGATTGGCTCTGGCAGTTGGATCAGATAGGCAAGGCTTCTATTTTTGCCAGATGCCACAGCACAACGCATCAAAAGTTGTAAGGGCTAAAGAGTAAAATATACGGTTAATTTTCAAAATAAAATAAAGTCAATACGTTGAACTGTTCTTCACATGGTAATGGGAGGGGCCAGGGTTGTGCTGGTGTTTATATTCACCACCAATCTCATTCAATGTCTCATGGTGAAACATGTGAGATCTCATGAGAGATCTTGTCCAGTTACGTGAGAAAATTGGTAATATTGCAAATGCTCCTCCTCCGCTTGCTGCAGTAGATCGGATCCAGTGGGCTCTACATGCTTATGTACTTGATCCGCCTGCCATTCCGGAGTGGAACAGAGCACCTCTGCATGCGGTGGAATCCCCGGGTAAGTGAGACAAAAATTCATTCAAAAAATCCTTGGTAAGATAATGTAAAATGTGAGAAGGTGTCCAAAAGAAGCAGATCTGGTTTCATATTGTAAGACTTAGTTTTGAAATTAGCACAGTTGCCTTCTGCTGGTCATTTGAAGTAATGCAGGTTGAAGGTGCTTCCGCAGTTGTGTCACTTTGAAACCAGACACTTCATCTTTTTTGAAGCACCATTAATGATCAGAATGAACTTAAAACAACAAAAACTATCATTTAATTCAATACAGACACTCAATAAGCATCTCGTCACATGGATTATTCTTACCAATAATGTTGTCAGGACCTGTCTGTTGGCTGAATGAGATCCTTGAGCTCTTACATGGCAGAACAGAGGGTGACTTGATTGGCCTTTAATAGAGCATGACCCAACAGTACCTGCCTGTAATAAATCCCTGTAATAATTAAAACATACATCCTTCTCCAGACTCTCCTTCGAGTGTCACCATGTTCCTTTCGAATTGCACCTCTTCATCGTCAGGCCATAGTACAGTCGTCAGACAGGGTAAAGAACAAGTCGCTGACATGTCTGTAGTAGCAGTGAGACTGCATTTCTGTTCTGCTTCTCTGAAAAACTTCTGCCTTCATCTCTCCTCCTGTGTCAGCACCAATTCTGTAATTCAGAGTTGGTGAATACTGATTGTTTCATTAATATTTCATTAGCTCATATGATCTACACCTTGTCACTGACAGTTTCTTTTATTCATGGAACAAAAACACGTTCCCAGCTCCATCAAAATACTTTATTTTAATAACCGGCGTTAAGAAAAGCAGCAAAGTATTCAGAGTTTGAACAAACCTCAGGACACTTTCCTACTTTTAGACATCCCTCAGGGCTTTCAGATGGGTCCCTGTGTGTACACTCACTGATGACTGACTTGTCTGCTTTGTCACACTGATCTGGGACATAAAGGTGGGGAGCATTCAGAACCTTTTTTTAGCCCTTTTGGGGCAACAAAAATTGATGGATGGATTTAATGGACCTTTGTCCTACCAAAACATTGTTATTATTTGTCCTGCGTCAAACTGAAAACTTTGTAGACAATACGTTTTATAAATAAAGTCTCATCATTGTTGCCAAAAATACATCTGTAGTAACTCATCCTGCCTCAGGACCAAATACTAGCTGCACTGATCTTGTTTTTCTGGCGCCACATGTGATCCCAACATATCAAACCTCCCCTTGTTGATCTAATACCTCATGACAGAGATACATTACAAAGAAAGGCTAATAAAAAGATATCGTGACTATAGCAATCTTCATTGTCTTGTTTGTTCTTGCTCTTGTTATTTCTGTTCAAGGTCACATAGGGGTGAAGCATGTCCCTACATAAAGTTATGTAGGAATATCCATTTTGATTTACAAAAGCCTTCGCTTCATTAGATTATTTCGGGAGTAATTTAAAAAACCTTTTCCATATCACACTGCCTTCATTCGCTTTAAGACTCCCAGCATGCACTGCAGACAGACAGACAGACAAACTCACATTGACACAAAGGAAAAAATATGAGTGTAAAATCCACCTGGACTGTTGCGTTGATCAACTGCAAGCACATAGGTAGAGGATAAACTAGTTTGGTGTTTATTATGTAAATTAAAGCGTAGCTTTTATTTGGAGGAAGCCACAGAAAATGCATGTTGGGAAATGCACATATGTTATTCAACAGAAGCACAAGAAGAGTCCTCGAGTCTGTGAGCTGTAACATGTTAAAAGCTGTCTTACACTCGTTTAAGTTAGCTCAAAGTAAAGCAAGAAAAAGTTAGCAAATGTCAATAAATAGACTTATTAACTGATTTATTAAAGGATTAAGCAGCTACTGCGCTGTTGTGTTGTTTGCATACATTGACATGAGCCATTGTTCAGTCATTTGGTGCAAAAAACGCCCCTTTCTATGCAAATATGACTCACTGCATGTAAGTGTGCTCCAATAGAAGCAGCCAGCAAGAATGATTTTTTTTACCATCAGCTAAGATTTTGAAGCAACTGGTAGTAAAGTGATATCATGCACAGACTCTTCAATTATCAAGACAACAATACCATATCTGTGTGAAATTCAGATAAAAGTTGTGCTTTTATGCAAAACGGAGTGTTTTCCTTTTTTTTCTGAACAATGCTTTCACTAAAATCTGAAGTTGTCACATCGCTTTTAAATCAATTAAAAAAAAACTGTAAGGTCTACCCCTGTTTATTCAGCTCATCATCTGTTCATGGACATAACTTAGTGCCATCAGGATTAGAGTCCACAGCACAGCTCTGCACACCGGAGAGCAAACTGCAGAGCTAAACTTTGCAGACATTCTGCTCTTGAAAATCAGCACATTAGTCCTTAAGACAGAGCAGCTAGCAAAAGCAAATGAAGTTGAATTCTTGGTTTTATTAGCTGCCACAATCCTTTCACAGTGAATTCCCTGCCTGAGAGTTTGGAAGTGATTTCTTTTATTGCTCATGAACTCTTCATTTCACTTTTAAGACAGTTTCAGTTGTTTTGGAAAAAGTGACAAAGTTTGAGGTTGAGAGGTAACAAAACAGGTACTTAGTGACCTATAATTTCAGGAATCTGTTTTTTTTTACAAAAGTTTTTAATTCCACAATTGCTTTTTAACTTCATTTGATGCAGATGAGGCGAATCAGCATTATTTTTTATTTCCCATTGTTGTGTGGCACCTACACAACCCCAAGTCTGATTTCTGTCTCAATGAACAGGACAACAGTACAAACCAGAGAGAATTTCATGGTGTTTGTCTAGTTCATACCACACCACTTAAAAAAACTGCTTTAAAAAGTCAGAACAGACGAGAAAGAAACTTGAAAATGAAACTATGAAGCTGATTCCAATATTATAAGAAGTTCATGTTCATTTTTTTAACTGCAGTGATAAAAAAAAAAATCTGAATTAGAAAAATTTCAGTTCCGAAGCCTCATAAATATGTAGTGAGAATGAGTTAGTTTAGCATAGAATTAAACCCACTTTTCACTTTTACTGCAGTTTGGAGGCAGAATCACTACTTCTACTTGTTCAAGGCCTTTTTTTTAAATCATGTGTCTGTAATTTTAACTTGAGACTGTATAGAGCCGCCTTCTCTGGCCTCACCACATTCTTACTGTTATTCACTTACAATGATTACTGATAATGTCTTGCTGAAACAGCTGTAGGAGCTGTACTGGCTCTGAAGCTGAATGCATGCCTGCCAGTTTGTGTGATGAAAAAAGTTATTTTTGAACTCTTCTTGTCTCTCTTATTTCATTTATTAATCTCTTCTGAAAACTGCAGCCATTGTGAGAATTTCAGGTCCCTCTGGTAGATAAATGCTGATATTAGGATGAAACCAAACAGGATGGAAAACAGCAAAATTATACAATATTGATTAGCCACATATTAAAAAAAGAGAAACGCTGATGTAAACCTCTCGAGGACCCATATAGAGTGTATAAAATCAATAAATATTATAGGAGATATCTGTATACATAGTTTATCAGAAATAAAGCAGGATTTCAGCCGCACTTACCTCAGCCCGTATAACACAGTGCCGTCAGGGTGCAGGCGGATCATCCGGTTTTTTACTGTCACACCATGAAGAAAGGACTTCTTGTCATTAAGGAAGTAGGTGTCAGGGAGCCACAGCTGGTCTGCTACACGGTTGTCCAGAGTCAGGTTCAGGTTCATCTCACCGTATGCCAAACGCTTATCCCGCCAGCTCTGCTGGAAATACATTGTGATGGTGTAGTCCTGGGAGGAAAACAGAACTGATATTAATACACTGAAGAAAGAATAAGTCTGTTTGTTTGTAAGGTTTATTTAATATCTACAAAGATACCTTTTCTATTTTGTGCATAACCTTTTGTTTACAGAGAAATTTCAGTAACACATGAACACATGAGTCAAAAAGTCCCAACAGCGCCTCTAGCACCGTTTATTATTCCCTCTCTTTGTATTGTAGTGCAAACACTCATGCAGTGTTTCTTTAGTTCAAGATTTAAGAGAGCACCAATCGATGATGCAGAATGAAACAAGGAGTTGGTTTGTTTGAGTTTGAAATGTGTTCAGGTCAAACTTTCACTGTAATCTTGTGAATTTAATGCAGTTTGACAGGGTAGAAAATAAGGTATAAGCAACTTTGATACAACAGCACTAAAAAAAAACAAGTATCTGCTGTGATTATCATGAAAATAGTCGAGCTTTTTACACACAATCAGAGAAACTATACTGCTCAGCATTTGTGTGCCAGAACATGGGCAGCAAACCAATGAATACAGCTGTGTTAGTGTTTCTTTATAAGACTCTGCCCAACTGGAAAAGTGCTTAAGTAGAGATAGAATGTCTGACAGCTAATGCATCACTGCAAGTCTGCAGTCAAACTACTGCATTACATTTACTGAGATAATCTACATTTATGTTTACCATTTTCAGTTAGTTTTTCACAGTTTACATAGAGGGTTTAACCGATAAGTTTCAGCATGATACATGTCGACATGTTCTAAACAGGAGCTCTTCGAACCTTAACTATGAAAAAAGAGGAAGAATGGCAGTCGCAAATTTTGACTTTCTTTGTCATTAAGTGGGATTTTTGTTGAACCAATGGGAGCAAGTATGAACCCCTCAAAAAGTTAAAAATTTCAGCAACACAATATATGCGTTCATCGACTTTCTCATTTAAACTGAATCAAACAAGTTCCCATTTTCCCGCCCTTAACTGATCATTCAAAGAAAATAAATACAAACAATCTAAGCAAAAAGAATGATCTAAGGAGCAGCATCAACAAAAAATTAAAACAGTCTGCTGTGAGTTTGAAAGCGTTGAAAGTCATTTTATTGTTTCAGAAACAACAGCGAGATGAATGGAAAGACGGACAGACAGACAGACAGAGAAAGAAAGAAAGAAAGAAAAGCTGCCTCTCCATGTGAGTCGCTCTGTGAATGACTCGGTGTCACGCTGACAGAAATAAAGAGACTGCTACAGGAAGGAATGACGTCATCGCTCATACAGCAGCCATATTGCCTTTTTCACAACCCAGCCTGCATACCTGACTGTAAACAAACTGCGCTTACTTACAGAGCTGTGGAAGGATTACATACTCTTTCAATCTATTAACAGCTGGTCAGGGAGACATGAGCTGCAACTACAGGCACAGAAGTAGTTCATCATATAAACAAGGAAAACTGAGGCTTAAATCTCTGAAAGGGTGTGTGCAATTTTTATCTGGTCTCATGTATTATGTGTTTGTTTAGGCAAAAGAAACTTCTGTATATGGTGGTGTGTGGGGAAAAGGTGAAATTAATGTTTAAAATGTAGGTGCTAAACACAAGTGGAAAACTCCAGAATTGGAAAATCAAAAGTGCAAAAAACTGCAGTTCTCCGAATGTCCACTCGAGGCTGACTTCGAAAGCCAAGGAATCTCAGTTGGGCTTCATGTTAAAATGGTTATTTCATAAAAGAATTAAATGTGTTCACAGGCTAATGCAAAAGAAAAACATGTTGCTACAATAAAAAAAAAATAAAAAAAATGTCTGACTCTCATGTATGAATTTCAAGCCAATCGAATGTGGTTGATAGTATATTGGAAATGCTGACTCAACCTAACTTGATTGTGCCAATAAAGAGGGGGAGCTTGGGATCTGAGCCATGAACAAATTTGACCTACAGATGGGCTTATTCATACCCACCTCAACTTGATTACACCCTTTATAATACAAATTTATGCATAACTCTTTGAAATGAGTCGTACAGACTTCTTGTTCTCTTGCAGCCAGTCTTGAGTGGACACTCGAGGAACTGCAAGTCTGCTTGGCTGCTATTTCATTGGCCCATCATTATCAGTGGGGGAGCTCCAAGTGTCTTGGCTTCATTTTTGCAGGGCTCTCATTTTGTGTAACTTTTATTAAGACCACAGTTGAAACTCACCATGTTTACTTCTGAGATGGAGTCGATGCTTGCTATGTTGATGCTCATTCCTACAGTGACTGGAGCACCTGAGAAAACAAAGGAAAATGCGATTACTGTCTAATAAGTGCATCACATTTAGGACTGCATATTCAGTTTTTTTTTTTACAAACAATAACCTCAATTTAACTCGTGATTTTGAATGCAGAATCAATCAAATCTGATTGTCAGTACATTTTGCAGTAATACATCAGATTACACTGCTCCTGAAACCCCAGACAGAAGATTTGCATTACGAGTTTTTTACACAGTCTTAGTTACATAGTTGGAAATTCAGCAGAGCAAAATGCTTCTCAAATACACGGTCTACTCCTGTAGTGAACAATACACCAGAGACGAATCTAAATCTGCCTTAGCTGCTCAAAAAAGAGAGCGGGAGAGTGTAAAACAGAGAGTAAAGATCAGTTCCCCTCAGAAGCTTATACAACAACGTTCAGAAAATGCACTCATCCATACTAATTTGCAGGCGAGGGGTTCATGTAAAGGAACAGGAAGAGCAAACTGTACCTCATTTACATGATTACAGTACATGCTGCAGACATGTAAACAGCTCTGCACATCCTCTCCTTTACATGTACAGTAAACACTTAAAGCACTTCAGTATTCACACATAACTTTAGGTTTACAGGGAAAATCCATTCCCAGCTGCAGTGTGCTCACAGTCCATGTAACCAACAGTAAAGACATACCGCCACGATGGTGTGTTGTTTTTCAACACATGGGTAAACTTCTGTAAGTCACTGTTTTACTTTAAGAGATATTTTTTAAAGATATTTAAAAGTAAAGTGCATACTCAACATCTATGCGCTTGCAGCATAGCTTCAATAACTGCTGTGATTAATTACCATTTACCGTGTGCTACTGCGAGGTATTCCCAGAGCTATCACCTCCACTTTACAGAAGCTAGAATATCTACATAAAGTTGTTGTCAGCTCTTTTCAAGTTAAGCTGCACAGAAGGAAACTAGTATTTATTAAACCAACACCATTTAAACAAATATGTTATTTATATGAGATCATATTTTGTTGTGTAAAGACAAAGTCTATCCTGTTTACAGAATCCATTGTTGCTCTTTTATTTCATTTTTTGCCTTTTCTGGAGAGTAAAAACTCACACTCGAGAGGCTGTTACCCGAGGCAGTGGATTATGATTTAAGTGAACAGCGATGTTTGTCAGTTCTCAGTGTTTCAGAATAAAATAATTATCTCTCTTTCCATACATTTTTAGTCCCGACATTATCTCCTGTGCCTGAACACTCTCCCTCGCTCTCTGTTCTTCTTCAAACTGACTCTCAGTGCACCAGCGAGAGCCACAAAATATGAAAAATAAGTGCTGACACAGAGACAGCGGAAAGGGTTCAGTGATTGGTTCATGTGGCAGTGCTGAATCAGTATATTCAGATGATGTTCTGTGGTATTACGCTGGAAATGGTATTAGCATAAGGATCATAAACAACAGAAAACAGCTGCACCACACTATGTACTTTACCGCATGTACTGTCACAAGCAAAAGGTACAAGACATATCTTTACACAGGATGAATTATATCCAATTCTTCTGCTTTCCATCTTTTTTCCTAATCTATTTTTATGAACCTTTCTCTTTCATGCCAAGCTGTTCGCCTTTATCTTTTTTGTTTATTCACAGCACAAATGAAGAGCATAACAGCTCACACTTTCAATTTTTATACTCTCCTTTCCAGAACTCACCACAGTTTGTTCTTTTTTGGGAAATGTGCTTTCACATCTGTTTGGATCACTTTTTCAGTCCGTATTTTCTTTACAATCCTTTTTTTTTTTTCCACATTGTGGCAGCTGAAAGCTAACATTGTCAGCTAATGATTTCAATGCTGCTTTGAACATATTTTAAGCTGCAGTGAGGTTTTCTTTGTAACAATGTGATACGGTTTGCACATTGTACTATGTGAAAACACCGGGCAAAGGTACAGACAGTGACGGGACATTGTGACTCATATAGGACAGAGTGATTCATTTCTACACTCAGCTGATGGATGCACTGCACGTGTTCAGAAATATGATCTATTTTTTAATCTTGTGAGCATATATAGGCTCCCTTTGACCAGAACAGATCTACAACTCTCCCTTTTTCTTCTGAACCCTCTTAAAATAAAACGCTTTGAAATGCAAAAAGAATGGAAAACAGATCCTGACAGTCGCCGCAGACAGCAGGAGTCAGGGACATGTTTGTGGGTTGCAGACTTGCACAGTTCAGAGCCAGTGAAGCTTTTTGACAAGGTATTAAAATTGCTAATATAACCCTTATCTTTCTAAAATACCTTTACAAACCCCAGAATAAAAACTCTGAGAGCATGAAAAGGCCATATGACTTTTCCTCTTTCAATTGGATGTGGCTAAAAATAGAGCTGTCAGTCTTCACTTTACCCTCACAGCAAAAGAGACAAAAGCGCACAAATTGTGTCTCTAGCTGCAGTTATTTACAGCTTGAAGCTCATTGTTCATGAAGTTGTTATAAATAAGAGAGGAGTGGCAAGAAACATTTTGTCTGAACTGAAACTATAATTAATGGAAATAGTTTTGACTAGTATTTCGGCCTATGATCTATCAGCTGATCAAAACACTTGCATTAATGGTTGGAACTTGATGACATGATAAATGACTTCATCAATCTCGAGGTATGCTTAAATTTGATGTCATAATGTTACAGTCTCATTTAGGAGATGTATTTTTACCGAGGTGATGTACATCTATGAGAAAGGACAGCACAAGCACAGACCCAGACTGGAGGCCACTGACCACATCAAGTCCAATCTGACACAGATGCTGACCTGCCAAGCTAGAGGCAATGTACAGTGTTTATAGAAGCATGTTTTTGTCATATCATCACTATAGCATCAGCAACCACATAATCATCATCATCTTGAAATCTATATGTCACAACATTAATGCCATCATCATCATTATTGTTGTTGTCGTGGTCATCCTCATGATTAGCACAGAGCTAACAAGAGCAAAGTTGTTCCCAAAGAGCTGGGTCTGAAAGTTTCTCAGTAGTATTGGGGGACTGTGTAGGTCAGATGTAGTCTGGCTTTAACATATGGGTGTGTCCTAGATCTTACTGCTGCCCACTCAAATTTAACCTTAAAGGGATAGTCCATCCCTCCATCCATTTTCTACCGCTTATTCCCGTTCCCAGGGTCGCCGGGGGACTGGAGCCTATCCCAGCATCTTCAGGCGAAGGCAGGGGACACCCTGGACAAGTCGCCAGACCATTTGAGGACTGACATATAGAGACAAACAACCATCCACACTCACACCTACGGGCAATTTGAAAGTGGCAAATTAACCTAACCCCACTTCTGCATGTTTTTGGGATATACCTGGAGTAAACACACGTAGACACAGGGAGAACATGCAAACTCCACACAGAAATGCCCTGACCTGGATTCAAACCCCGGACCTTCTTGCTGTGAGGTGACAGTGCTAACCACTACACCACTGTGCCACCCTTAAAGGGATAGTGCAGCGTAAAATTAAGTTAGGGTCAAACACACTGTAACACTGAGCTAGACAGTTGATCACAGGGTGCAGCGGAGTTTCGCAGCTCAAGGAAGAAAATTTATGATTATTACTTCTACAGACCAAGACGCTAAGGCAGAAGAACTACTGTGTCTGTAGTGCAAAATTATAATTATTATGATTATCAATTCATGGAAATGATCCACTGCACTCGGTGATCGACTCGTCAGGGCTCCCCCACAAACAAACAGCTGCTAGAAGAGAGTAGGTTAGTTGAGTTTGGTCTCTTTGCTAAGAAAACCAGGTGAAGCTAAAAATATGTTTGGTGGCTAGTACTATGGCTGGGACGCTATATGTACTGTTAATGAAGTTAGGTGCTGTTCTGAGTATTAAGTGGCTATAGAGTGGCTTTTTGGTTGAGGTTTGCATGTGGAGACATAGACTGCTGTGTATTGCCATCGTGCTGTTGTTACTAAAGTTGGTATAACTAGAGAAGAAAGCAGTCAGCAACATTTATCTCTCAAGGGTCTGTCTAACTTGGTGTTACAGTGTGTTTGACCCTAAATTAATTTTACATCAGAATATCCCTTTAACAAACCATAAGAAACACTTTTCAAACCTTGTTTCATTGTTTCAAGAGTGGGCTGTGTCCTGTTACTGTGACCAGTACAAAGTGCAAAGAGAGAGACTGATAAACTAGCTAAAGCTTTGTTTTGGATAGGGACCATCATGAATGTTACTGCTGCTATCACCAACTGCACACAACCTGATGCAACTGAAAATGTGCCTCCATTCATTGTGCATTGCGAGTATTGTGGTGTGCTGTTTTACACGGGAAAAGCTGCTGCCATACAAAAACATGTGGACCAGGCTAGTGGTGCCACTTTTCAACCGTGTTTTCTCCCATAATAGTTTGAAGTCATACATCTGAAGAAAACAATGACGTACTATACAGTATGACAAAGGGGAACCAGCAGTGGGGGTTTGGAGTAGTGTCACACGGGTACAGTCACACGTGAATGGATATTCTGTTATTTATAATAATAGAATTTTATTATTGCTTTTCAATATTTCACTGTCCACATAAATGATTAAAACTCAATACATATACATCACAGGCCAGTAAGGTGGCAATCATCAGTCTGTCATATTAAACTCCATTGAAGAATACAGTGCATATTCTTATTGAGCATCTTCCTAAGCAAGCAGACATAAACCGGTATAGCCCACTGTCTGGTTGCATGTGAAACACATAATAACTATCAGTGCCATGCCCAAAACTAAGGTCATGAATGTCTCCCAAACCTCAGTTTTTTCTGTCTCCATACAGACTTAACAGAGTTTTAAATCATTTTCATCACAGAAGGTGTTTTCAGTAACCCAAAACTAAGTTCATTTGATCATGGAGGTAAGGCTGAAATGCACTTTTTTCAGCGTCTACACAAAGTGATTGCAGTCAGTAGGTCTGCACCTTAAACCTCTCCCAGTTATCATGGATTGGAGTTGACAATCCCACAAGTAAAATACAGGATTTTTAAACTCTGCATGGCAAAAGCAGGGGGTGCTAAAAAGAAATGCACAACTGCAATGGAAATCCTCCTGCAGGGAAGATTCAACCTTTCTTTCCTCTAAAACCAAACTGTGTCTGATACACCGTTGGACATCAATTCCAGATTTTACGGTACTTTAGCAAGTATTTTACTGTACATTGCATCAGGACACTTCAGTGTATCTCCATATTCCAAAACCAAGAGAAACTAGACTTGCATGAAAGTATAATAGGATCCAAGTACCTCATGAAATTCAAGACTAAAGACTCACTGACCCACAGTGACTGAGAGGCCAGGATCTTGTGGGGATAAGGTGGTTTAACACGTGTTTGTTTGCACGCCTGGGCAGGCTCAGGCTCCCTCCTGCAGGGCACAATGCCAGGATCTGATCTGACTCCAGACCACAAGGACTGAGGAGTCTGCACCAGAACTAGTCTGTCCCAATGAATTATTTGGTGCCTCATTCATGAGTGATGTCTCTTACCTCCAGCATTGTCTCAAAAGCAAAGAAGCAAAAATATTGATGAATGAACTCCACAAGCTTTAATCATGTTGATGCAGTAATCCTTCAGAATGATAAAAAAAAAACTAGCACGTATAATTTTACTGTCACATATGCATGCACTTCACTGGAAACACCTGGATCTTTTATATTACATGGCGAAATGCTTGGAAAACCTTGCAGCAGATGTTTAGGACTGTTTAGACTGTTAAACGAAGAGATCTGAGCAAGGCTGATGGAGTTGCACTGCGCATGAAAATAAGTTCACTTGATTCTTTTTCTGTCAGGTAACTTCATGCAAGAGCTAGTTTGTGCATGTCCACATGTGCAAAACAATTTCTCTGTTTAAAAAAAATGCTTCAAAAGCTTAAAATGAAACCACTGCTGTATTGGGTGTAATGTTACTTACAAAAATGTTGACTCATTGCAGTTTTTCAGAGTCATCATAGATACAAGATTTTGCTGCCAGCTCTACAGAGCATCACATGTGTATTGATCCATGGGTTAAAAATGTTAAATCTTGCTCTTTAGGCAATTTTTACTTAAAGTCTAGTGCTCAGCTGTTTCAGGAAACTGCTCACTCCAAGAAGCTGAAATTTTTTTCCAGAGGGAAACATACGTTGATGGATTCTGTTATTGTGTTGGATTTGTTGATGATACAATTTAACACACTCCTCAGTTAGATGCTGACATCATGAAAAATATGAAACAATGCAGCACTGCAAAAGAGGAGAAACTTTTACGTGGCTTTGCTGCATCCTGCTGCACTGCATGGTTGCAGCTGGAAAAAAAACAAACTATTTGCTGTTTTTGTTACGACGTTGGCGGAGCTGGGACCAAAGGTTTAAACTGGGGCAGCATGGCCCATGTGCCTCTCCAGACTTTGATAGGCTATTTGTTTTTTCAGAGGTGAGGCTTGTGTAAAGATTTACTGTTTTAGGCTCTTTTCAAAGTTAGGATGCCAAATAGTGTGTATTGAAATGAAACTCAATTAAACTGTCATGAAATACTCACTTCTGTGTGTGTTAGAGCTGCAACGATTAGTCAACGTCGACAAAAATCGATAATGAAAAAAGTCAACCATTGTTTCTAGACATGTTTTTTTCCAGTAGAGTGAGGCATCTTACTTCATTATGATCTCTGCCTGGAGTCACACATGCGTAATAGTGTCTCCGCCAAGCAGTAGGGTATTCAAACATGGTGGCGTCCCACACAGCAGCTATGAGTACACGCATAGCTACCTCCAAAGTTTGGGAGCACTTTAACCTAGGTAAGGCGAAAAAAAATAATTGCAAGGTTTGCGAAGCACATCATGGCAGCACGCCGGTGATGAACAAACATTTGAAGAGAAGGCACGTCGGAATGTAGGATGAACAGTTATAATATATGAGCTTCATAACGAGCAGACTGAGACATCACAAACAAAACGTATTGGCTTGAATGTATATTTCACAAGAGTATTTTGGCTTTAAAAGAGAGCTTTAACGTTGTGCTCGACTGTGCCTGACATAAGTATTTTAAATGTATGCAGTTAGAAGAAGAGAACCACCATGGACCCCTTTCTGCAAAAGAATGAACCAGCCTATTAGCAGCAAAGTTAACTAAAATATGCATTTTTCATTGAAGTGCCCATAATTCTTGCATTTATTATCATTGCTACTTAATTAAAGCAACCTCATGTTAAATTTAAGAAAAAAAAATCATAATTATCCGATTAGTCGACTAATTGTTTTAATAGTCGGTGGATGACTTTTAAAATAGTCGTTAGTTGCAGCTCTAGTGTGTGCCCATTCAAAAGCTGTACATATGTGCAAAGATAAAAGCATTTTATTCATTAGAGTTTAGGTGCATCGCTGTATTAAAACCTTGGATGAGAGGTTGAGGGAAGAGCTTAAATGCAGCCTGTGATTGGTCAGGAGACTGAAAACTTGAGGACATTTTCCAAAGTTGCATAGTGAAGAAAAGGTGCAGAGATTAGTGGCACTTGTATGAATCTGCTGATATGCAGCATTGCAACCTTCTAGTAGGGATGAGCAAATATTTGAACAATGCAACTGTTATCATAATTTGGTCTTTATTTCCAGGTTTTCCTTCACATAACGCTCAGTACGATCGTTTCTCTTCTGTTCTTACTATCAGGAGGTATTAGGGTCAGGAGGAAGCCCTCTGAGCCTGGAGGGATACAGTTGTGCCTGCACTCATGTCTGACACTGCAGAGTTACAGTAAGAGGCGGTAAGAGTTTCAGTGTAAAACTCTGTGTGTCTGTTTGAGCTTACCTCTGCTGAATGCAAACTGGAGTGGAAACTACTCACATAATCAAAAGACAAACACAACGATCAGATAAGAAACCATGATGGACTTACACTTAAGTACTCAAATCCATGCTCACTGTAAAGATGTACCCTGAAATATTCATTGAAACGGCTCAAAGATGATTCCTCCCCGCGCAATTCTGGTTAATTATGACGTTTCTCTTCAAATATCGAAGGTGCTAAAATATTAACCAGCGAACCACTTGGCTGAAATGGCCCATCTATCCTCTCCCTTACACTCTGTGATCCTGTTTCCCTCCCCCCGCCACTCCTCCTGCTACACTAAATGCCCTGCAGCTTTGTCATATTCCCTGACCCATCTCTTCCGACAAAAAAGTAGGGCCATTTCCATCGCACTTTGTGAAGGCAACCAGTAACAGTTTTCCCATGAGATGTCAAAGTACATTCGCTTGCTAGATGAAAACTGAGAGCACCAAATCTCTCTCTCTCTCTCTCTTTCTTTCCCTCTCCCTCTCTGCATATTTTGACCCTGCTTTAGTCAACACTCACTTTGTTACCACAGCTTTCTCGAAATAAAACCACAACCACTTGCACTTCACAAGTTGGGAGGAAAAACACAGCTCTAAAAAAACTCTTTGCATCTTTAAATAAGTACGTCTCCATTCACTGTCAACCAACATTTGAAACATTTTCTAAGAAATGCTTGATTTTTTTTCCCCCTCAGCATACTTGGAAATGGTTTAAAAATAATTGATGAATAGCGTGCTTACTGCAGTCATCTTTTTGTTAAGATTTTATGCAAAAGAGAGGAATGAGCGAAAGAAAGAGACGATTCTGTCTCCATGCAAACCATACTCTCCCTCGACAGATACCCTGTTAGAGCATAAACACTGCATACTTTTCCAAGATCCACAAATGTTTCATGTGTACTTTTTTTTGTCTGACTGAAGTTGGCTGATAGTACAGTGGGGAGCTTTCAACAGACTGGCTGGATATTAATGTAGTACGTTGAAACAAAGTAGAGAGAGAAACAATATGCACTGATCTGGAAATATCAACCAGCTCTGCCTCTTGACTGAACCCAGAATGAAGCTCTGCTGTACGGCTCAAAGCGTAACAGACTGACCAGAATTGACCAAAACAAAAGCAGCCTGGTGGGGGGGTTTGACAACACATACCATGGAGAATACACTTGCTCACTGAGAGAATAGGGTTGGTGATACTGGTGTTGAATGCTCTAGTGCAGGCATGTCCAAACTATTCAACAAAGGGCCGGTGTGGCTGCGGGTTTTTCTTCCAACCAAGCAGCAGCACATCAGACTTGATTCATTTCATCAGCTGATCTCAGTCTTCAGACAGCTGATTGGTCAGACTGTGTGCTCTTGATTGGTTGGAAGAAAAACCTGCAGCCACAGCGGCCCTTTGTGGAATAGTTTGTAGATGCCTGCTCTAGTGTATCAATCTGGGACCAGAGTTTGACAAATGTGGGCTAATCAAGAGGTTACATTACATGTAGTACCTTCACAGTGTGACAACCTTTGGTCGAGTTTCTATTGTAATCAAATCTGTTCAAACAATCAGTTTCCCAGCAGACACCTGACCCTGCAGACTGTCAGGATCTATGTTCATAGGAGGCTGATCTCAGAAACTATACACTGCAGCAATTTTTTCATGTCACATCACTGATAGCAGGTATGGACAGACATTAACTAAACTTAAGTATATTTTTTAGTATCTGTTATTTGCCAGTCTATATATTTAGGGAAAGTAACATTTTTCTCAATTTTTTTCATTTCTTGTTACTTGCTGCTTTTGCTCTGAGTTTAGCCGATGTGATTTCTTTTCTCAACTTAAAGGGATATTCCGGCATTAAATTAATTTAGGGTCAAACACACCGTAAAACTGAGTTAGTTACGGTATTATGGTGTGTTTGACCCCAACCTAAATTTACACTGAAATATCCGTTCAAGTCTGATCCAGAAGGTAACAAACAGTTTTTTGTGTAGTTGCATGTGTTTATCTTAGCGTCATTGTCGGACCTTTATGTCATCCGTCTCCTTGGTTGACAGTGGAGCAAAGGCAGATCAAACCTCACTCAGATCAGGTAGGTCATTAAGTGGTGGTTATGATGGCTTTAGTTGAGAGAGATGATGGTTCTCTGCATGAGCACCCACAGTTCACACCACTAATAATGGACAGCCAATTTTGTCAAGGACTGTAAGATAAGGCTGATGATGAATCTTTGCTTAACATCACAACTAAAACAGGTTGGATCTGATGGGGTCTGATTGTGTATCAGCGTTTTGAAGTCCCACTCTGATCGTTTTTTTAATTACTTAAAGTTTTCTCAGTGGTCTTTGTGATTATGAAGTTTTTAGCCAAAATCCCATTACTTGTGTCATTTTCAAGGGCTTTTCTTCTGCAGAGCTGCAGTCGATCATTAGCAATTTGCCTCTGAGTCATGGGCATGCTAATATCATAATTAGCTTTCTTATGAGCATTGTAATCTGCTACCACACATGCTTGTTTCACGATCGTCCTCTCTGTTTTTCCAAGTGTGGCCTGCATAGTGGGGCCCCGGGGGCGGAGCTTGGATTTGCTACGTAGGAAATCTCGCTGTATCTGAACCTGCTGTTTGGGTCTGCCAGAGATTCACAGGGATATGAATGCAGAAATGCTCGAAAATTCAATTTCGCACTTACTTTTCTCATGATATGTCCTGTAGCATCAGAAAAATGGCATATGAACATGTAGACAACAAGAAAAACGTGATTTCCATTGGAGTGGGTCTTTAACTGCACTAACTGCATTATCTCTCATTGACAGACGCACCATGAGGGCCTACCTCATCACACACATCATATCAGACCAATCTGCTTTAAGGAGTTCCTCCACATTTTAACTATGCCTGTTAGCACTGTGGCAAAAACCATAGTTTCTTTGCATAACCCCCCATTTACTATAAAGTTTACTGTACATTCATAAAATGTTGTGCAGAAACGCTTGATAGAAAGTTTAATGAATGAATGCTTTCTGTGGGCTCCAGCACGGTCACACTAAACTCCTTGGTTCTTGGTTTAAAGTTTCATTTGATTCAGTCACACCACTTAGATTCAGTATTTTGTATTAGGTGTGTTACTTGGACCATGACTCCAGGATTTATTCCCAGACCAGGAACTTTGCAACAAGGACAGCTGCTGTGTCGAGCAAATTCCCTCGACGACTCTGAAAACCAGCCAGTCATGCATCTCACTGTGCTTATCATGTTTTCACCCCTTGTTGACAGTTGCTTTTTTATTTAGCTCAGCTGTCCCCTCCTTTGCTCATTATCTATGTATGCTGTCCTCTCAGCTCCAACAACGTGTCGCCACATTCAGCTTCCAGTCTGACAGTCTTATCTCGCCCCGGGCCAGACGAGCCACTCTGATGTAGTGGGCAGTGAGGGTGCCCTAGTTAATGTTTTCCTCGGTAACAGAGTTCCTATCTAAACGGTATAAATTCAGTGTCAGACAGTGGTCAGAACATGAAAAGACATATTCAAACATCAGCTGGGGGCAGTGTCTCTAACTCTAGAAAAGATCTCCTAACTAAGTGCTAGTCTTGTTTTTCTAATTTGAATTACCTGTCACTGTAAACAGGTCTTAGATATCCAACATCTCCAAACCCCAGTGATGTCTGTCAGTGCTGTAGCAATCTTACAAATGCAAGCTTAAACTGATTTAAAAGGAACATCCATGTCAATGTGAAGACAATGGCAGCCATACCTTGGACTATATAAATGCAGTAATGGCTGGTCAGAGGTCACGGATAATGTGGAGCCTGGCTGAGAGCTCGCCAAATTAGCAAAAATCATTAACTGCTGCAATTATAAATTCTCGATGTGAGCCAAGGCACATTTTTCAAGAGACACATATTCTTCCAGAGACTTCTTCTTCAGGAGACACTAAAACACGGACATCATTTGATTATTTTCCGTAACAGAAATATCCTGCAACATGCCCATGGCTTTCAGTGGAGAAACAACAAAAACAGAAGAAAGTTGGACAAATATCAGCTTAAATGAAGAATAGTTAAAAACCCTTCCAGTTTTCCAAAGACAAGAGACCTGTAGATATTGATGCTGTGCAGTGGCCAGTTCTCTGACATTATATATGTCCACCATAAAATCTGTAGCATAAGTCACACTGGCATATCAGACACAGTCTATTTTGGGGGTCTCTTAACTGTCCCTCTGGGATGATTTCTATTGCCCTAAATCAACAACATGTCACTTCTGCACTGCTGCGTTGCTCTGTTTAGTACCGCCTGTTTCATTTTCAACATGTGGAGTTTCAAATTCTACCAGCTACTGAAAAAAACAGTCAAGCTCTCAGTCTGCTCTTACTTTGACAGTTGTGTGGTGAGGGTCCACTGTGAGCAACCACTGTCATCTACCTCCACTGGTCACTTGTTGTCTTGGATTGAGGAGTCTTTTCAATTAAACAAGAACGGCTCTAGGTAAATTTACTTAATACTATACCAGCGCTATCTACGAATGGTTTCTTTGATGTTTGATTGTTCTCAAAGGTTAAAGTTGGTGGTAAAAATAAAATGCACGGCCAATTAGAGTATTTTGTTTTAGTTTTTCTATATTTTCTAGATAACTCCAGCTGAAATCTAACATTACTGATGCAAAATGGTGAATCCAAGTTTTAGAGCCTGAATCCTTGATCTTTCTCCAAAATGCAGTGAACCATACTCCTCTTTTCTTTGGCCTTTTGGCTAATGTTAAAGATTCCCCTGACTCCTTGTCACATCTGTTAAAATGGTCAATCCCACAACAGCTCTTTCACATTTTTGACAGCATTCAGACTGAACACTGATGCTGTTACTTAAATACTTTACGCTAATCAGCAGGTAAAACCATTGTGATTTCCACAACCCCTGACATCACATGCATAGTCCCTATTAGAGGAGAAGGAACAGGAGTATGTTATTGGATATGTGCAAAAGAGAGGACGCAGATTTTTTGCCAATCTATTATTCATCAAATTTTCAAACTTCATTGACAGAAAAATGGAAATCTGTGCTTTAAGGACGCAGAAAGTCAGACATCCCTGTTCATATGTGGTGGACTTGGCGAGCGTTAACACTTTGTACTATGACCAGTGATGTCCACTGTGGACACCCTGAATTGTGTCTGGAAATATGAGACAATCATACTTCAAAAGCAGGACAAAATAACCATTAACAAATAAAAAAATCATTACTTTCTCCAATAACAACAAGCTTAATTAGTCTGGTATCTGAGTCCACAAGAGGGCAACATGATGGTATTCCCCTTTTTCTCGACAGCTTATTAACTTGATGCTTTAATGAACAGAACAGCATAAATTAGCAGAAAACAGGTGCTGAGATCAGGAGGTGAGTTGACTATTTTGGCATATCTGGGTTGATTCCCTTCTCATGTCAGGAAAAATGAGATTTCAGCAGAGGAGGAGACTACTAGCGGCACCTCACAGCATGAGCGCATGATGAAACCTGATTAAAAAGAGGCTGCTTAAAGCCAGAGATACGTTTCTATATGTTTTACACAGGAAGGAGAAGCACTGCCTCTCTCCCACAGTCCTGTTTATCAACAAAACCTTTTTATGATGTTGACATTTTATGCAAGTTTTCCTTGTTAAAATATTCAGCATGCCAAACACACTGGAGTTTAGAGTATAAACATATCAAAATGGATGAACCACATCCAAGCAAAGTCAAGGGATGAGTTTTCACGTTTTCAACAAGTCTCGTCGGTTGTAAAAACCTGTCAGTTCAGCAAACAAATTTGCTGGACAGAGAAGAAAACACCGCTCTGTCTCTTATATATATAAATAAAGGGAAAAACTCTGATAATCAACCCATTGCCTAGCAACAGAGGGTTCCATAGCAACTGTGCAGCATTTTCCCTACAGTGTTGCAGGAGAGGCATGATGATTTATCCGACTGAGTCTGTGTTTGCTTTAGTTTTCAATGGCTTCTGCTCTCATGAAGCTCTTTCTTCAAGACATCAGCAAACAAAATGTTACGCTGCAGCAAAATCTTCATCTGCCTTCAATAACAACAGCCTCATCAATTATTTTCTTATTGGCAGAAAGGAACCGAAGCCACCGCAGAGAACGCAGGAAAGGCAGAAAAAAACCCAAGGCTGCCTTTGATAGTTACTGATTTGGTTCAAATCTATAGACGACAATATCTTACACTTTAGTCACTCAAAGCAGTTTTTAAACATGAGCTCTTGGGCTGAATTCATTTGGTATTGTGATGTGTGATCATGTCCATAAATTTATCATAAGGTTCGGTGACTCAAATCATTCCAGGTAAGCTAAATAAATAAAAGTTCAAGATCTGCAGTTAATGTTCCATGGGTGACAGATATATTGTCACCATAATATGATCATATTTAGGGTTTGATCAAGATTGTTCTTGTTTAATACCAGTCCTACTGTCTCCACACACCAAGAAAGATGGAAATGATGAGTATGAAGGCACTTCTCCAACATCAGCATTCAGTAGACGGTCAAATCTGGATTAGACATGAAATGTAATTTCACCATGACATTTCTTATAGAAAAAACATAACTATAGCAATTTAAAGACTGTTTTATGATCATAAGAGGATTCAAAGACACTGCAAAGGGAGCTTTTTTGAACAACCATGATCATCGGATACGGCCAAATTCATGTATCCTTCACCATAGGACCTCAGGTATATCTCTACAGTTCACATTTAATAAATTTAATTAAATGTGTTGATATGAACCCCTCCAATGGCAAACAAGAGTTTAACTGGTAAAAGGAAAAGCATAAGGTCTCTTAAAGTTCAAAGTCTTTTAGTAATGGATGAAAATGTAGCCTTCTGGTTGATTCAAATGTATTTATTTCATCTTGTTTCTATATGATCCTTCAAGATTTTCGAGCAGCTGGGAGCTCATATCCCAGCATGCACTGGATGACAGAGTCAGCAGTCTATCACAGGGCTAACATGCATATATAGCGACAAACACATTCACACCTACGGGCGATTGAGAGTTTCCAGTTGACCTAACCTGCTGTGGACTGTGGGAGGAAAGTGGAGCACCCGGAGGACACCCACTCAGACACACAGGCAGCTTCACGCTGCACACTGAGAGCTCTGTGTTGAACAGATTGACAGACTTGAACCCTGGACCTTCATGCTGTGAGGCAACAGAGTTATCCACTGAGCCACCATGCTGACTTTATAAATATTCAAACTTAAAATTAATATTCAGGAACATTTAAAAGTTGCTTGATCAACAAATTACATCTCTTCAAGCCAATACAGCAGGACCTCGCACAACATGTTTGTTCAAATCCATCCTCTGAGTGCCCACCTGTAACCATGAAAAACAAATATAGAAACTACAGCTTTTTGTGCATGCAATAAAATATAGCACCACCTACACTATCAAGTGACACAAACCATGAGCAGTAGTGACGGGGGTTACAATATATACTCTCCTATACTTAAAACCAATGATGCTGCTGATCAGGAGGATGAAGTCGAAGATGGAAAGCACGAAAGCAGAAGGTTTTGATTTATAAAATTAATAATAAAAATAAAACAGGAACATATCGTCATCCTCCAGCCTGGAGATAAAAATTTGGATTTTTTTTTTTTGCCTTTATTGGATAGGACAGCTGAAGAGAGACAGGAAATGTGGGGTGGAGTGAGCAGGGGAAGACATGCAGCGAAGGGTCAGGGTGGGACTTGAACCACCAACCACTGCAACAAAGACTAAGGGCTCAATAAGTGGAGCGCTTAAACTGCCATCAGCACCCTGATATAAACATCCACGAGCAGCACTGAAACATACCTGAACTCTTTTGGTTTGAGGTGGATAATCCAGATGTCCACGGTGTCACTTATGCTATCCAGAATTAGTGACAATGGACAATGGATGCAGTCGTAGATTATATCATTTAATGTTTTCACATGTAGAAAAATGTTGAACTTCTATATCCAAGCCGTTCTGTTCACTTCTTATTCCCAACAGCTAGTAAAATATACACTAGATTGACCGATTCATATTAAGTTTTGTCCAACTCTTGTCACTCTCCACCAGCAGCCGCTTGTTTGTGGGGGAGCCCTGAGGAGTCGATCACAGAGTGCAGCGGAGTTTCACAGCTAAAGGAAGAACATGATTGTTACTTCATGGAAATGCAATCAGACCGAGATGCTAAGGCAGAGGAACTACTGCGTCTGAAGTGCAAAATAATTAATATGATGATTATTACCATATGGAAATGATAAAGTAATGATCATAAATGTTCCTCCTTGAGCTGCGAGACTCCACTGCACTCGGTGATTGACTCGTCAAACTCGAAAACACAAACCTTGTGTTACAGTTGCTGGAATATGCCTTTAACTCAGACATCTATAATTTTCATCAACTGTTCAAGCGTCAAACCATTTAAGGGTCAGGTGTTTCCAGCTAAATCATGCGCCTTTGCTGCATGTCTTCCCCCCACTCTCTGCTCCCCACATTTCCCCATTTTTCTACAGTTGTCCTTTCAATAAAGGCAAAATGGCCTAAAATAAACTTTTAAAATCACTTTCAAAGACACAAACAAAAAAAGCTGTCATGTGTTGTTGTTGATTAGATCGGATTTTGTTTTTTAATTTAAAGGTAATTCAATCTTTGTGGGAATTTCCATCAAATTCAAGCAGCATCTTTCACCATCACCTGGGAATGATAACCTTATACTGTAGCACTAACACTGCTCAGCACTGCTGAACATTAAGTATACAGTGAGAGCACCTATGGACAAAGAAACAGCAGAGTGAGATTAGTGATAGCTGGTGAATAAAAGGAAATCATTAAAGCAGCTCCGGCACGAGGAGTAAGGAAGGACGGAGGAGATGGCAGAGGAAAATGATGAGGGACAACAGAGGAGCAGAGGCAGTTCATCACAGAGAGCCGAAGACACAAAGGAGAAGTAAAGGTGGCCTCATCGGATTGTCCTCTCCTGTCAGAGACCTCCAGCTGATATATGAAACCCACTTAGAGTCCACGCGTGACCAATGCTTCTTAGTTTCATACATGGATTCTGTGGGCTGAATAATGAAACACGGAGCATTTCCGTGGCTGACTGCCCAACTCGTACATTACAATTACATGAGGAGCATTAAAAATGTAAAAAAAAGGAAGAGAGAACTGCAGATGGTTTACAGTTTTTTTAGTTTCAGTGAAGTCACATGCACTTGAGTAATTTGTCAAAAAAAATCCTCATTTGATTTTCATTTGTACTGTATGGCAAAAGCTGACCCCGTACATATTCAGAGCAAGTTCCATCTATAAACTTAGTAACTGAAAAATACACCTAAAATAATCAGCCAATGGAAAAGACCATAGAAACAATAGCGAGGAAAACTACCTTAACAGGTAGAAACCTCACACAAGACCAGAATTACTGGTAAAAAGCCATCTTCCACCAATATGTCTGGGCCAAGAAATTAAATGTTTAAGATTAACTGTAATAGGTAAAATTCTGAATGAGTTACCTTTGTGGTGATACTGAAGTGTATTTTCTCAGGTCAAAGTAGAAACATACTTAAAAAGTGAAGCATTTGCACGTAACATTGAAATATGTCTAATTACACTCTGCATCGTCAATAGAAGTGCAGAATTTGACTGATTCTCTGCAGGATACCGGGTACAAAAGACAATGTGTAAGTCATGATTCTCTCTCAAACTAAATTTAATTAGAGGAGAAAAGAAAGACTATTGAAGGTTAAAAAACAAAGGCAGTGTGCCCACGTACTGAGTGGGCATCTGAGGACAAAGAGAGCCCACTGCAGGGTTTATCCTGAAGCCATGAGGAAACTTTCTGGCCATGGAAGAGTATAATTCATTTATGCTCCAACTTATGACTTATTTACACGAAGGCCTGATTCATTCAGCAAATAACACACAGACAGCTACAATCAATGCTGTTATCTCTATTTCGTCATTATTTTCAAGTGAATATATTGAACAGATTGAGAAAGGTAAGAGTTTGAGGTGTTTGGTATTCTTCTCCCGTCTGTCTCTTTTAACTGATGCCATGTGGCAAAGCGAATCTCCAGAGTAACCTGACATGTGCAGTAAATCTCAGTTCCTCCCTCGATGGCATGCCATGTATCGGCAAGTCCTGCCGAGGCCGTCTGCATAATTACATTAACTTGTGGTAATTATGTGCAGATCCTCCTCAGCGATCATGGCTAATACGTCTCAGGAGAGCAGGATTCATGAATTAATTCTTTATTAATATGTTCACTTGTGACCATTAGACTCACTCCGGTGTGCATGCCCGGGGATGGTGGATCATGATGTTGGCTGCCATTTCTGCAAATATGTTTTTAAATGACCAAGGTTCGACTGGTTGTCACAAAGCATTTTCCCGTGCTGGGAGGGGCTGTACCTCTATATATATTTCAAAATCACACTTGGTAAACCAAAAATTACAACAGTGGATTAAATCATGTTAAATTAAAGGGTCTGTATTGTGATACTGTGGAATAGCAGGGAACATGGTGGTAATATGACTCACAGATGGAGTAGGATATACCATCTACCACCTCAACCTTGATGCAGTCTCAGTGATGTCACCCATGGCATTTTAAGGAAGTGCTACAAAGGCAGATAATGGAGGATGCCAGATCAGAAACTCTGGTTTAACCTAACTCAACTTTAATCTAGAAACCAGCAACACAGCGAAGTCAGGGCAAGCTTTCGTCCTCTGGGTAAACCATGCCTACCTATTGACCACCCATGCTACTAATGTTGCACCTTTCTTGGCTTGAATATTATCAAGAAGTTCAAAGAACTGTGCCAGTGAGAATAAATTACAATCTGGACCTGACTTTGAGCATGTTTACTAAATCTGCTGTAAACTGGGCATATAAATATGGGAATTCATTAGGTTTCCTGTGCTTTTGGAGGGAGCCTGAAGAGGACTCTCAAGGTACTGCAGTTGTTTGCATTTCCTCATTGGCTCCATTTTCCAACCAAACTTTGATTAACCATTATACTGTATGCTAGCTTTTAGAGCCTCAATGTGTGATTCAATTCATGAAACACACCTCTCTCTGCTCCTCTATGTCTTATTGTTGTGTGTAATGTGAGACAGATTTTTCTTGTGCCCCAAGACAGCGTCACTATCTGGGAATGAAGTAAATTAATACGACTCATGAGATAGTCAGTGGAGATCTGGTTCACAAGAATTTGTACCCCTGACCAGAGACTCACAACCACTCTGATTTTCTGTTCACATTTTTATTGCAAACTTAACTCTTTATTTTCAAATGCTATTCAACTTTCTCTTTGAACCTTATACAATAAATTTAAATAAACCATTCTCAGTTAAAGTGTGTTGATCTTTTTGTGAGGAATGCCAGGGTACCCTAGCACCCTCCTTGACCAGACATCATTGGTAGGTTCTTTTAGTGCTGGGCGATATGGCCTCAAATCAATATCCCGATATATTGAGTGGTTCACCTTAATAACGATAAATGGACGATAACTACTCCACAAGCTGCTCAACCCCTCCCACATTAACTTTGTCTACTTCAGCCACCGCTCCAGCTGCTACAACTTGTGAACCGTCCTCCATCTCCTCACCTGTCCGTCCCTCTTTTTTACAAACTTGATGGGTTGGAGTTACGTCTCCAATGTAGGACAGCGTATGTAGACACACATCCAAAAAGCAACTTTTATTTACTTATTTTTTACTTATTTTTTTGACACTGAATATATTGACATGGGCAAAATGATGTTGGTAATTGTCCTAAACTTCGTCATTGGTAAATTTTCGGTTTATCGCCCAGCCCTAGGTTCTTTTTTTCATTTTTATTCAATCTTTAAAGACAAAAAGGAAAAAAACTTTACAAGTCATAAGGTGTTGAAGAATATAGGAAAATGTGTTATTTTGTAATCTTAGAGGTCTAAAGGTTCTATTATTAACAATGATCCCTAAAGCCTATGTTTAACTTTAGTTGGGGACCTTTGCTTTTCTTTCTACTAGCCATTTTTGCCCTCTAATATATTCTATAACATAGGGGGATAAAAATTCACCCAAATAATCTAACTTTATAACTATGACATTACAATATAGTGCATTTCGAAGGTTACTTTAACATACTATCTGACATCATGTCTGGAAAATACAGAACAACACTGTAAGACAGCATCTTTGTTTTACTGTTCGTGTTAATTGTCTGTTTTTTATTGTTTTTTTAAGTTTTACTGTACAACGCTTTGGTCAGTATTTTGTTGTTTTTAAACGTGCTTTATAAACAAACCTGGATTGGATTAAGCAGGATAGAGGTAAGGTAAGATGTAGGCTACAAGGTTTGTGGAAGCTGTATGGAAAGAATGAGGGTAAAATTTTCAACCTATTTTTTTTGAAAATATAAAATGTGAAATCTCGCTATTCTATCATTTCTGCTCCACCTGCACTATCTACTAGGGTGTAGAGTTGATTTACTTGCACATGAAAAAGTTGATGCACAAAGGCGTGGAGAAAGTCACATTGTGTCGGACAGGTAAAAAAAAGAAACTTTGAAACAAACATCTCACCTCAAACAAATAAAAATAAATACAGCAACGTGACAAACAAAAGTCAACAGAGCTGAATGTCAGACTCGGAATCTAAAAAAGGAACGGAAAAAAAAAAAACTGCACAAATGTAGAGGCAGGAAAACAAAGTGAAGTGATGAAGACCAAAGGGGAAAAAAATCAAAAGGAGGAGAGACAGTTGGTGCTTGTGAGAAAAAAAAAAGATTTTGTGTTGAGACACCAGAAGAAGAGAAGTCTGGCTCCTCAGTTAGCTGATTGTTCATCTTTATTTGACCTGTGAAGCATGTAGACTGAAAGGAAACATGGACAGATTTATATTATTGGATTTTCATAAACAGAAGACACTTTAAAACACAAACTAAATGAGCTGTTTTCAACTACAGAAGGAAGACGCTGTGGATGTTTGAGGTAACAAATGAATATGTACTGCAGAGTGTATACAGCTGTTATGTTATGAACAGCACGAAATGTTCCTCCACTTGGGGATCAACTCTATGAACCAGAGAAGCAAAAGAAAACAACCAACTGTAAAGTCAACAAAAAATGCAATCTTACATCACAGAAGGAGCTTGCATCTTTGATTGAAACCAACAACTCAATAAAAGCAGCCACGGTGTACCCACTCTGCCAGTGTACCCACACAATAATGTACTAACCCCCAAAAATAAAATAACAAATCTTGAATAATGGATCATCTTTTGAAAGCATGCATTAACTAGGAAACAGCACCAACAAACAGCTGGCTGCTGGTGATGACCAAGCGAAATATTTTGTGCTTTAGTCGTGTTTTAAGTTTAAAATGCACGAGTACAATTCTGCTGATGATGCAAGGTAGTCACACGGAGAAGGTCAAATACCTAAAATGTGTAACAGACGTCTAAATAGGTTAACTTAAAAAAGACTGCGTATGTGGAAATCATACCAGCTGCTCAAAAACTGAAGAACCAAGGTTTGGCTGATGTTTGCGAACTTCAACTACGGACAGTTAAATCAAGGAAGCAGTACAAAAAAAAAAATATATATATATATATAATAATGACTATTATTATAACGATATAGCACATTTGCATTATTAAATTCTGTTACAAGGAGGTCAAAATTACATTAAATGTATTCATTATATCACTAGTGCTTCATCATGATCATGCCATGATAATGCATACTGTTGATTTGGATGTTTTTGCGCCAGTTCGGTATTAATTTTACTATTCTGCTGCCCTCAAACAAATGCAAGTTGTACTGAAACTACTTCACAACTGCAGAAGCAATGTGCAGGCAAACCGCATATGGAGTGAAGGCATACAAGAACTACAACCAGGTCATTTATCAGATCATGAAAACTATTTTGCTTTTATGTTTTGTCGTTTCTTCAGTGTTTCAATGATTTCAAGGCAAAAATTAGACGCTGTAAAAGATTGTGTTTCTCAAACCTGAATTATCAAATGTGGTGACTTGATTAGTGGTGAGGATATTTCTCTGGTAAAGACTTTCCTACTTGAAGCAGAAATGTGAAAATCCAACCAACCAACCATTCGAACAGAAGAAAATGCTCAGGAAACAATCAAAACTGAGCACAGTTAAACACAGATCAAAGTGTATGCAGGTAAACAATGTCAAATCGGCCGACTAAGTGTGGCTAACATTAGCCGAGCCAACACCACCACCCTTTGCCAGTTTAACCAGACACAGCTAACATAAAAACCTTATCTCTATTTTTCTTGCCTAGTTACAAGATGCGACCTGTGCCTGTTTTCACCCAGGTAGTAGAGCATTATAGCATCAAGGAGGTAAACAACAACCAGCACCTCTGGCCTACATAAATAGGAATAATGATGATGATAATAATTTGTTTTACTGACTAGTATTTGTTAAAGTTTAATCATTAAGTTCACACGCACAGCCCTACTCTGTCAAAAATAAGATACCATAGGTGGCCCTTTAGGATCTTTCCTGACCTAAAAGTTAAGAATTCAATCAGGTTTAAGTTGAGTCACAATACTGTAGCATGAATGTGAAATACAGCTGGGGTGGTGGGCCGAGATGGTGGTAGTCCAAAACTAACATGTGTGAGTTATGGTATGCAGATGATGGGGAAGCTATAAGCAGGGAGATGAGACGCTTTCCCTACATAAACCAATCTGCTAGTTTAAAAGGTGACTCTGGTAGCAGGTGACTGTGAACCACGGTCACTGTTGTTAAATCATCTGTTGAAAACATTGTCAAATGGACTCATCAGCTTTGTCTTCGATGAATAACTAAACAAAGAGGCACAAACAAGGACTCTTTCTATTTTCAATGGTTGCTGTAACAACAATGACCACAGACACACTGGCTGAAAGTTGACGGCGTGTGTCTGTAACATCTGTGCCAGCTGAGAAGGTTAATTTTCGGCAGCTGGACTGAGATCCTGACCCTGAGCATGTTGACATATTGATTTCATTGAGCAAAAATGTATCATCAGTCCAGTCAGTTGAATATTATGTGTGTGTGCGTATCTTTATGTGTGTGTATATCACACTGTTCATTGACAACAATTAGGGTGTTGTTGTTTAACACCCTAATTGTTGTAAAATGTTCATGTGGGCATGACTGCTATTATTTGTTGCTCTGTTATTAGTATTATTGGTTCGGCGCTCAATTCATTTGTTTTGAATGCAGTTCATAATGCACATCGCTAACAGTCACATCTTGAGAGTAGCCGTCTGTTTTAGAGTGGTATGGTTTTCGACAGTGTTTAGCTAAAATTAGGTAAAATATCCATTTAATGGACTTGGAAATTTGTCGCAAAAGAACATCCTAAACAAGCAGTGCACCTAAAACCAAATTGTAACTGCTTTGCTGTATTTTTTGACGAGGTGTTGCTCAGCAAAAAGTCACGTAAAAAAAAATGTTTGCCTTTTTTTTTTTTTTTTTTTAAATCTAACCAAATGTTGTCTTTTTAATCTTGCTAGCTCAACCACGAAACCCTCGTCCAGGTGCCAAACAGATGTTCATTTCCTGATGCTGAAGGCCAAAGACCAAGCAGCCATGTTTGGAGTTTGGAGTGAGATGGTGATGTGTGCCTATATTGTGTTGATAAAGATGGCTACACTTGAGAAAAGGAAAATATTCAATAGTATGTTTGGCCAAAAGCATGTTTGTCAAGCATAACCCAAAGTCTAGTCTCTGCATATTTAATGTTTCTCTCATATTGTTAGTCAAACATTCACACTCTCTCCTCTTGTTGAGTCCTCCAGCTCTGCATGATGCGCACAGCTTTTTTATGTGGAAACCAGCTCCATGTGTCGGCAGTAGGAGTTCAATAATGAGATGGGCTTTTGAGCGAGCTTCCTGGTAGTCAGGATGACAGCATCTGCAGATGTTGTAAACGACATTTCTTTCCTTGTTTATCTTTGTGAAACAATTGGATCGCTGCATCTCGCCCTTGGCCAGCCTATCCAGTTCTGTGAAGGACACACCTCCCATCAATCACTGCAGGTTCAAAAAGTGACTCACAGGGGACCTTAAGAGCAGGAAAAAGGGGAGGAAAAAAAATGCCCGGCATGCAGGATGCTTCCCTGATGTCTGACCCAGGCTTTTTGTACTCTGCAGTCCACTGCGATACATTCTGGTGCAATTCTATCAGCATTTTTCTCCTTCATTTCAAAGTTGCTGAAAACAACACTTTGAATGGGAAGATGAAGTATGTCCCTTCCCCTGCATGCTTTTTCTCTGCACCCTTGCCCCCCTCTGCCTGCCTACATACACACCTCATTTAATTCAAATAGAAAATCTAAGTGAAGGGAAGAGGGAAAAGCGCCCAGCTCGAGCGTTTCTCCTGTGTGTTCCCTGTGAAATAAATCACTGGGCGTTCTCTCTTCATCAGGATAGATATCACTTGTACGAGGCCCGACATCCATCCCGGGATTCTGACAACACACTCCTGTTTCCCGCTGAATAGGCATTACTTTGAGATTGAGTTACGATGGCCTGCGCTATCAGCCCGTATGCAAAGCAGCCCACCATCTGACATGTGGCTGCGCACAGACTAAGAGATTGTCCTCAGTTCTGCAGAAGTGTCCGTTGCTCCTGAAAGAGCAGCTGCCATTTATCACTTAATAGCTGCAGCTGACAAAACGCAGGTTGCAACCGATGTCACACACAAATCCATCAGCTGTGTCACACTTACAGAGGGGAAAAGTATCATGTAGGAGGTGATTTCTGTGAAGAGCTGCACATATGTGGGATTATTTAGTCTTATATAAACAGAGGACACGAGGATCAATTACACTGAGGTTACACTTTGTGTGATTAATGTAAAAGAAGAAACAGTAAAGCAGCGTGTCAGGATATTCAGCACAAAAACATATCAATACACAGATGCTAAGTATTGATTCTTTCTTTATAAATTATCTTGTCAAAAAATGATCCTGTTTGCTAAATTCACATTGTATGACTGTATTGTGGAAGCACAAGCGGTAAACACGCAGCAAGAGCTTCACATACGCACAAACATGGACATGCACACGCACATACAGTGCTGTCCCACCCTGTCATACATGATGGTGGGAGAACTACAGAAGCGTAAGTGACTTCACAAAAAGATTTTGATAACATTTGGAAGTTTGACTTAAAGCTGCAAAAATCTTAACCCTCACAACAAGAGAGGCTTCAGCTTGAAGGTGAAGCTCACAAACGATATGCTAGTTCAAAGGAAGTAGTAATACAAGATTGTTAAGCCAACCAGTCTTCATTGTCCTTTGATTAAAATGAGCATTTTCACAAAAAAAGCTCATGTTTAATGAAGTAGTGACTTAAAGTTAAAAATGCTGTAAGGAACTTTTGGTTTGTGTTGGTTTGTGCGCTCCCTGTGTGCACTGAGTGATTACTGCTATGTGTTGCCCTGTGCATGTTAAAATAATGTTTCAGACAAAAACCTCATCCTGTTGTCTCCTAACAGTGAAATGTATCACTCACTTTGTAACTTTGTCATGGGATCATTTTTTAAAAGGCTGTTTCTACAGCTTGCTGTCACTCATCTGGCCTGAAAACCTACCTCCTCGTAATGTTTCAAGCGTTAAAAGTTACAGCAGTGAATTTATCAGTCTGGTTGCTGATTGTTTTGGTTGCTTTTGAACGTCTTCAAGAGGCACTGGTATCAGTTTTAGCCTGTTTCTTCACCAGTTAAAAACTCCTCATTGTGCCTTTAAATAGATTTATTAAATAGGGTGTGCATACGCCCTCTTTTACCCAGACATGTGCTCTGTTTGGGGGGCTGTTGGGCCCGTCCAGCCTTGACCTGCCTTGTTGGGGGGAGTTTATAAAATTCTTAAAATGTTTGAGGATTTGTATGAAAGTTTTGAGTTTGTATCGCATGGACTGAGTTAGAAGCGCGTAAAAAAAACACTCAACCCGACCTGAAAAACTCTCAAAATTTACTACACACTACTCCATGACTCCACCCTGCGTAGTAGTGTCCTCTTTTTGGGGATTCAGAATATGGTCACCCTATATTAGAGGATATAAAATAAATACCTATGTGATTGAAAATATACCTAGAGTTGTACCACTCATTGTCATTGTGTTACAGGCTCTATACTGTGGTGTTTAGAGGTGCTAAAGGATTACATTCAGTGGTGTGAATGACAAAAGTTTCTCTATTTAAATTCTCTCTCTCTTATTCCAGACACCAAAGTTTTCATATTCTTCTAAGACACAGACTTATGAGTAGCCCATCATCTGAAATGGTGAGCAGACAGTTTAACTGTAACTAGTGAGATAGTGTCCATTGTTAGAAATTAATTGACACCCTACAGCCAATCAGAATCAAGTATTCATGCAGACCGTTGTAAAACAGCATTATATGCGGCGTATGCCATAACATTAATAAGAATTTCCGAAAAATGTCAAAAATTGCCGTAATATTGTATCATGAATTAGATATGGAGGTAATATTATTGCAGGGCCTCTGGTGATTTTACACTGTAGTACATTAGACTACCGAATCTAAATCTCAAGCCTTGCAGCTCCTGCTTATACCCTCACATCCGGCTCTCTCTTACATATTTAGTCAATTAAGTGTCTATTCTACTCACCAGTCTCACTGCATCTGAGCTGCAGTTTCACAGCCACATTTACTGCTTTTCCATTACAAACAAGATCAGACTGCAGCTGGGACTCATTTGGGTCAATGTGAAATGAGATCAGTAAAACCGGTGCGGCAGACAGGGACAGGTGACCATACTGTGATGACATGGCTGCAGGCTGCATCAGACTGCAGAAATGAAAGCCACCTATACACGCAGATCAGGTGCTTACAGTTATGTCCACAAACTGCCGCACTAAAGGAGTCCGGATCTCACATCCCCGCGGTCCTGGCACCTATTGATGCCTTTTAATGTTGGAGATCGTTAAACTGCAAAATGTACGCTAATGCTCTCTCAGTTGGAGCCATTAAAGGATCATTTCAAATTCCTTTACACTACATTGTGATAAATACTGAGTCCAGTCAGAGTGGAGCCCGGGCAAACAGAAGTATGAAATATGACTGCAGCAATATAAGCAGATACTGTGGCAACATGGCATTCAACATGCCGTACGTTAGAAGTGCAGTTTTTGAATGTGAGCTGAGTTTACATAAGAAACATGAACAATTCAAACCAGTGTTGTATAAAAAAGCCATGAGACATAAAATAACACATGTCCATAGATGTGAATTAAGTGTGAATGCTTTTTTATGTTTTGGAAGAAAATAATAGTTCAAATTCAAAAATATAGAATTCTTTTAGACTACTTTTTTGAACTCTCATGGTAATATTTGTTTTCCCTGATTCCAATATTGTACAAAACTTTTATTTATTATTAAACGACATTTCACACTAACTTGTTTGTTTGAAATTATTTGTGTTTGTTTACAGCAATACACCCATAGTATCACTCAGTGGTGAAAAATAGCTTTGCATTTAAAATTTGTAAGATTGATGGTTATCACAAACGCTATCAGTGTGTTTATAGCTGCAGACATGAGCCCATACTCAGTTGTGCAAAACGAGGGTTTTAACATATGCTGAAAGTGCTTGAACCACCTTACGACATCCCGTGCCAGATATTTGTGACCAGAAGAAGAAAAAAGTTGTGGACGAACTATCCTGAGAATCCTCTGTTGCACTCACAACAGACAGGAGGACGTCAGTATTTTGCTGATCCGAAAAATGATCCAATCCGTGACTGTGATCCAAGAAACGATCCGAACCGTGAGGTTTTTTGATCCGGTGCACCCCTAGCAGTCACAATATTAGGGATTATGACTCCTCCAGCTAAACTAAAAACTCACAAAGAAAGTTGAAGCCCTGCTGCCTGACAAACTAAAAACAAAAGATGCATCTGTATGTCAAACACACCATGAGCTAATTTTGCATCATTTCGGCCTTAAAATACTAAAAACAGGCAAGTTTTTCAAAAGAAAGTAAAGAAATTGTTTAAATGATAAATTAGGTACTGAGACCAGAGTTTACAATAATAATAATTACAATAATAATAATAATAATAATGATAATAATAATGATATTTTACCATGATTTAAGCATGTTTAGTCTTGCTGTAAATATTGGGATTGTAATGTGGGCTCTGAAGGGTCTTTTGCCTTGAAACAGGCATTAAGTGGACACTCGAAAAACCGCTGTTCCAAAACAATTGCGTTGTTTTTAGAGATGGATGGATGGATGGATGGATGGATGGATGGATGGATGGATGGATGGATGGATGGATGGATGGATGGATGGATGGATGGATGGATGGATGGATGGATGGATAGATAGATAGATAGATAGATAGATAGATAGATAGATAGATAGATAGATAGATAGATAGATAGATAGATAGATAGATAGATAGATAGATAGATAGATAGATAGATAGATAGATAGATAGATAGATAGATAGATAGATAGATAGATAGATAGATAGAGCTTCTTAATCTAAATATCCAATATCTATCCAAAGTAAAACACAAAAAACACCAACCATCCTTTAAGGACCCCCTGAGACTGAGAGAGTCACTCATCCTTTCTGTTGTAGCCTCTGTGGTGCAACAAACTGGTGAGGCCCTACAGTCAAGGGCAGGGCATTACTATCTAACATTTCTGCACAACAGGTATGTCAACTTAATCAATGCAGCTTGTACAGCAACACTTTCCATCTTCACACGCACCCCTGCAGCCCCTTTTTTTGAGTTATAAAACCAGAGAACAGGTTTTGGCTTGCAGTTTCTAGCAGTCACGTGGATTTCTAAAATCTGCAGAGCTATCTCCATCAATAAACAACACTTCATAAATTACCCGAGTGCAGCACCTTCTGTTAGACATTTACAGGCTCTACAGTTTCTTTGTCATCCTGTTTATGCACATCTACAGTATGCTCGGCGAAATTCATTTTCACTCTGCTGCACAAGTGACAGAAAACCATTCAACACACACTAAGCCAGTATCACTGTTTATTACAGCAGACAAGGACAAAGTAAGGAAGCAGAGTAGCTTAGGGAAGCATCACAGAAGTGTTTTTGTGCTGATCATCTAAATTATTTCCGATGTTCACTATAGGATGGGGAGAAAGACAGTGTTAATGCTGACATAATGAACAACCAAGGAAAAAGAAGCTGAATAGTCTGAAATGGCCTCAAACACTACAAGTATGACCTTTCGAGCACTACATAAACATGCATCTGTTTATCACACAATCAGAAGGAGTGATTCACATCTTGCTTGAAACATTATTTATTTGTGCAGCACTGCTCCTCCTTAACATCTTTAAAAGTCTGTGAGAGAATCTAAACAAAAAATGTTATTTTGGTCATCTACTGTCACCCGGTTCAGCCTCAGAATAAGGATTATTTTCACACTGTACCATTAAAACTGGTTATGTCAGTGTTGAACTCATGGATTTGCCATCAAGCAGACTACCGAGTATTTATCAAAAATCTGCCCCAACAGCTGACTTTTGTTTTTTCTTTGTAAAGAGGAGAGGTAAATATGTGTGTCCTTTAATCAGTTTAAGAGCCTCAAACTGTTGCTGAGTGATTTTCCCCTTAATTGTTGCATGTAGAGCTTTTTTCCTGTAATCACATTAAACACACTAGTGTGTGCTGTATATTGATTATAGGGAGTGATAAATGAAACACACACTTCAATTGCAGTCTAGTTAATTTAAGTAACTTTTCTTGTTTACAGTGTTCAACATTTTTAATCAAATAAAATCTATCTTACTTCGATGGCAAAAAAAAAAAATTAACAAAGCTCAAGGCTTTAATTTCATATCGCATTATCAAAATACACAATATACATTAGCTGTTGAAAGGGGAGACTGAGCTGAAACACCAAGCTTTACAGCCATTACTGTGTTAGCTGGATGGTGTACGTGTTGCTTAGGAAAAATAGAACTGAGCAGAAATTTAAAATAAATAAATAAATATCAAATACAAGCTGACTTCTACTTTAATCCAGTTTGCTGATCAGGAACATGGATGTGTTGTGCTCACAAATAGAGCAAAAACGGTGGGCTTTCTGATGACAAACATTGTTTAAAATTTTCTTAAAATTCTGTAAATTACATAGTAAAGCTGTTTCCATCTGTTGCAGTTCTCCTGTGAGTGATGCACAGGGAGCCTGACACACCCCAGCTTAAATATATACACATATCCTGTGAAATGGCACCTTGGTCAGATGGTAATTCAAACATACATTCTCTTTATGACTACAAGCTCATCCCAAAGTCGCCATTTCAAAAGTGCTGCCTCAGTTCACCCCCTGGACATCTGTCAACTTTATTTAGTGGAGAGATAGTGAGGCCCCAAACTTCACTCTTTGCTGTTCATGATCAGGACTGGATTTGTACAGCTGTACACAGTCTCAACTGTTCATTTAGTCCAGTGAGACTTGTCCTCCTCATGGTCAAGGCACAGCAGGAATGATGGCATGTTCACAGCTTTTATGATATGTCACCCTTCATGCTTAGTTAATGGTGGAAGCTGAGATCATAAAACCCATCTCTGAAATGGTGACAGCATGATATGAAATACGTCCTCCAGAAGGACAAATGTGTGACTGGGGTGAGAGCAGAGTCGGGCCATCTGACTTGACGTCATGTTTTTTTTTTCCTTTTTTTAATCAACACGGGGACTTTTTCCACAAAGACGTTCAAACACTATCTATTCCTAAAGTTGTAATGCAGAAACCAGTATGAGTAGTGGGGTAAGTTATCATTCTGCCTTTTTTCCTTACTCAAATGTGCTAAACATTTCTGATACAGCACATGACAGTGACATTAAGACAAAGACAAAGAAGGATCTCAGACCAGATCTAATGCAGAGACAAATAAAGACACGCCTATAAACAGACCCTTAGTGAGATGAATAAACAGTATTTATTAAATTGTGACGTACAAACCATCTGCTTCTTAGTCAGAGGTGGGGCTGCAACTACCAAATATTTTCTTTGACCATGAATGTGGTGATTTCTTGAATAATTCAAACCAAAATCTCAAACTCAACTAATGTTCTTCTAACCAAGTTTCTCATCAACAGTATTTTTATTTCGAGGACACATAAAAAAATGTAAATCTAAAATGGGTGGGTGGGAGTCTTTTCATGCCCACTTGAGACAAATAATATATGCAGTAAAACTTGACATTTTAATATGACGGGTTTTATTTGACATGTTCATCATGGTTATGGTTAGGGATTGGCTGTAAGACCTCAACATAAACGCCAGATCAGCTCTCTTCACCACTAAACCACAATCTAAATTAAAAAATTATACAAAATCAAATTTTCATTAGAATCTGTTAATAACAAAACCTCAAATATTCGTCTAATTTAAGACAACCGCATATTTGTAATGTATTGATCATGTATGTAAAGGTCATGTGTTTCATTACTCTGCTTGATAAATTCTGTCAGATACATTTTATGGGTCATTGCTTTTATGAAACCAATTCATCATACAGCTTGACATCACCTAACCGTAACCATACTAACATGTGTGAGTTAGAGCCATTTGAAAGACAAACCATGCCAAGAGGATAAGAGTTTAGTTTGTACCAATGTGGGCTACGATATCCAGGAATTGATATCTTTTGTGTATTATAACACATTTTAATTCAAAGGTCAGTATAGAAGGATAATCATACAATGAAGAAACATGGTCTGTGGGTCTGAAGCATGTGTGCAATTCAACTGAATTCAATTTATGTGTGTTCATCTCTTTAAGGATGTGTAAAAAATAAAGTAGAGATTTTAGATTGTAAAGGAGGAGAATAAACATAAATAATCAGCAGTAAATACATCACTAAACATATTGAAATATGCTTCCGAAGATCAAAACATAGTTAAAGTAAAACCAGGTATGAATACAAAGAGATCACACCATAGAAAGTAATTTTCTAACTGATTAACACCAATTCTGTGTGTTCATATGTTGTTACAATATAAAACAGCAGAATAAGGATCTTCCAAAGAAGGGCTTTGTGACTTGCATGATGTCGCTTGGACATTTGCACAAGAACAAGGAGAAGATCGTCTTTGCTGTAGTTATCTGACATACATGTCAAAATGGCAGCTGCAGTTCATTTATTGTCAGCTGGCTGAAATTGCAAAGCATGGGGCATAGGTCCGGCCTAGTAGTTGAATCGTGCAGCACTTTACAGTCTTTAGTCTTGGAAGAAGGTGGTCCGGGTTCAATTTCAGTCTGCGAGTCCTATCCTCCCAATAAAAGCTAACCCCCCGTCAAATAAGATCCAGTCCTTGAGCATGCTCTGTGATGTTGTTAGGCCAGGGTGAGGTGTGGGGGGAGGAAAGTTTTGTTGAGTCTAAGGCCTATGACTTACATCAGCTCTTGAAAAATACTGGGACATTTGTGGTAGTGAAATGCTGGGGCCCAGTAAAAAAAAACTTTCTTTGCCCTTGTCTTGAGTCATGTTCGAGAGCAACACTTGAATCGATCTTCCACAATAAACTTTGCATGGGATAGGGGACACAAGACTCACTAGCTACCGTAAAACTATACATACCTAAAAAATGAGGTGTGTTTGACTTTACAACAGAGCTTTCACATGTGAGACCTGATGGTGCCAGCTCCACTGCTGCCAATGGTGTTGTGTAACTCTTTCTCCCTCAAGAAGCTGACACAAAAAGACTTGTCTTAGGCCAAGTCAAAAACAAAAGATGGTCTCAGTGCAGTTTAGTGGCACAACTGTCTGCTTTGTTGACAATAAGACAGAACCTATCTGGTTTTTGATAACGCCAAATAACACCCAGCAAACGATCCTCTGTGTCCTGAGGTTGTGCACATCCCTGAACAATCCACCATCACCTCTGTTTGCCTTCAAGTCACTGTCCTTGCAACGCAAAACCAATACGGTAAGGGGTAGAGGGGAACTGTACTCACTCAACTTATGCTGTTCTGCTGCACTATTTCATCGTTAAAGATCACAGGTCAATGCTGTCCCATTGACGGTCACAGGAGAATCAGCAGGCCAAGGACTGCAAATACCTTGTTCTGATGGGACCATCAATTCACTCTGAGAGGACACCCACAATTCAAGAGGCTGATGAAGAACATCTTTCTTTGGATTATATCTACATAATCCAAGTCATGATTAACCTAATGGCAACCCTGATCTTCCACGACCTCAAAGGAAAAAAATAGGGTGACAGAATCAGTTTGATTGGCCAAAATCCTAGTATATTTTAACAATAATCTAAGACTACTGAACAGGCAAAAGGACTGTTCTAGCCTCATCTTTCAGATCGAGTATTGTTCTAACTTAAAGGGCAAGACACTCGTTTAGATCTTGCCTTCTATCAAATGTTTATACTGCTCCACTGTACAAGCCCACACAGCAAGATGCAATGACATTTCCTGAACAAGCTAATCAGACATTTATGGTCCGTGAAAACCATGAAAAATTGTCCAGAAGAAACCTGCAGATGATTGACTCTCTATGGTTTGTCAGTTCCAGGTTGTCCTCAAATGAATCCTTGTGTCTTTAATATTGGCCTCAAATTTATTTGTTTCTTCTACGATTGATTCAATTGGTGCCATCCACCTGAAAAAAATACATTTATTCAAGAATCTCCAACCCAACTCCGAGTGAAATGTTCCCTTAATGATATGAGAATTCTCACTTTAAAATCACTGAGGGTTTGGATACAGGGCTGTATTTTAGACTTAGCCAATTTCGTCAGATCTCTCCATCCTCTTCAAGGGTGCTGACACATCTCAAGCTCTTTCTTGGAAATCAGAAAATGAACTCAACAGAAGGCAGCGTATCCTATCATAAAAGCTTTAGAGCCGTCGGTCTAAAAGCATGTCATTATACAAACTTTGAAAGTCAGTGCAAAAATACAGGCATCACACCCCTCTGACTTTCACGATATCCCACAAACTTTTAAAATCTTGACTACCAAGGAAGACCGAAAACCAGTTATAATATGGGTTATTATGACACACACTCACAAGAATCAGTTTGTAGAAAAAAAAAATATTTTTACTTTACTTTTAATATCAGTGCCACTGTCCCAATATCCCTTACCACGCTAAATCAAAGCTTAACATCCATAGAACTGACACTCCTAACATGACCGTAACAATATGTGGTCTAGCTCTCTATTCATCTAAACACGGCCTCTCAGATGATCCACCTAACCAGTTAACAAACCTCTACTTCAACTACACCAAAAAGTGATTTTTGCAACAGAGTTAGCTTTACTGATTAAACATAGGGGCTCTAGCACCCCAGCACACAGACCAAGATGTAGAAGCAGTGGTCCATCAACATAGAGATGAGCTGTAGAGAGCGACGAAGAATACAAAGCAGTCAAATAAAGAATGAGGATGTTGTTTTCTGATAGTTGCACTGTGGTTTCTTGTGTTCTTGACTCAGCACAAACAAACAGAGGTGTGGGTGTTTACTGCTGAAGTTGTGTGTCTCCCTGCTTCTCCCTCCATCACAGTAACTACACCGCTAACTGTCCTCATTCAGAGGTACAGACATTTTTTAAGTTTCCTTGGCAAATCTTTATGAGATATTAGAAGATAAAGAAAGCTTACTCTCTGCAGATATACATACAACCATACACTGGCTTATGTATGATGCATTTTCCCTTTTTTCTTTTTCATTGCCCTTTAACAGTACGTCAAATGTTGGTCTGTCTTTAGTGAATTTTGCTGCACCAGAACTGCATGGTAATTAACTATTACAATATGATGAATATAAAATATCTGTTTTTATTTGTTGCTGGGGTAAAATACGTATCAATATCTTTTGATTTTCACAAGTTTCATTTCAATTGCTAAAAGATAAGCAGAACACAAGTGGCAAAATATATAATAAACCAAAAATTCATCCTGTGTAAGTTCTGAGTCAGTTTCATCGAGGCTGATTTTATGTTAGGAGAAGAGGAAACTCATCGAGGTTTTGCCAAAATGCTATTGGGCAAAGTGATAAAACAAGGCATGTCAAAAAAGATGTCAGTTTGGGATGTAGATGACTATTCACAAATAATAAAAAAAATAAATAAATCAAAGTTAAGAAAAAGACTTTATCATTTTAAAGCAAATCTTCCATTTCATGCATTGATTTAGTATAACTACAGTAACAGTCATCTTATACAAATGGTTTGATTTTAACTTCTTGTTGTATTTTGCTGCTTTTATGCCAATAGTCGAAGTGTTGTGATGGAAGATTTACCAATGTGTTGAATCAATTAAAAACATTGGTGCTATCTTAAAAAAATAAGAATTTCAAAGGCGGCTCACACTGCTCTGATTACTGTGCTGGATCTAACTCTACGTAATGCATCATTCAGGTTATATGGAGGTTGTGGTCTATGACTCAGCTCTATGACCACGGGCAGTTTGTTAGGAAGCTACAGCCAAGGGTGATAAATCCATGCGAACAGATAATGAAAGAGGAGAAATACCATTTGCAACCCATGCATTAGCCTTGAAAATGTTTCAAAGACACAAGTTTTTTCTGCAACTTACAAAAAGAAATTACATTATGATTATGATATCTGCAAGAAAATTACAATTCTGTTCCTTTGCAAAAACCCAAATCAATACAGAAGAAGGCAGGGACGGGGATGCGTAACTGCAGAGCGGGTTTGTCTTTAGGATACAATCCTGTGGCATCACGCTTGGCAGATTCTTTCTGACTACTGAAAACACAGTCTTCTGTCCACTGATGCACATGTCCAGTTAGTTTTCATTTCAAATATGGGAGTTGTCTTGGCTGTAAGGAGCCACAGTCAGTGTCCAGCACTGTGCCAAATTAAAACCCTCTTTGTTGAACGTGGAGAGCTGAAGGTCGTCAGCAGTTGTGTCACGACAGAAGTAGCTGACTGATGTTGGAAATATCAAGACATGATGGACTGCAGCTCCCAGGCCTGAGGCGGAAGCACAGCAACTCTCTCTCTCTCTCTTTTTCTCTCTCTCTCTCTTTGCTTGGGATATTCACTCTTTAATACTTAACTCTCCCCACGCCAGTGCAGTCCAGAGCTGCTCCAAAACACCAAATCCTATATGTTTGCAGAAACAATGTCTGAAAAGAGGTCAAAGTGGCTGAAAAAACAAGCAAGGGAAGATAACGCGAAATAATTGTTGGTTTGGAACTTGACATGAAATCAATTTATTCCTCAATTTCATCACTTTTGCTTTTTGCTACTGGTTTCGTGTCTCAATGTGTGTGTGTCAATTTGTAGTTTGTTCGATAAAATTTTGAATGTGTATAATGCAGGACTGTCAAATATTTAACTGTGAACCTAGTTTGTGTCTTCAAGAAGTCAGAAGTTGAACAAATGTCCATCTTTATTGAAGATAAAAAGGTGAAAAGGCAAGTCTGGCCCCTTTGTTTACATAGAAATGTACAGTACACGAAATCACTGTCACTAAATGGTAGTCTCACAATGAGTGTAAAGTCTGATCATTCATGGCAGACAAGGCTTGTGTTTTTGTGAACCTTTTGTTTGGAGTTATTTTGAGTGAAAACAGAATTGGTAATAAGAAGACCATAGATGAGCTCAAACCCTGAAAGTTGTATGGTCATCAGTGCAGCCACAAGTGATGCCAAGTGCAAAAAGAAACCCAAAGAGTCAGCACAGCCCCCAAGCTGCTCGCTACATCAACTGTGCAGAGCGCGAAGTGAACATGTTATGGAAACATTGACTTTGAGACACTGTTTGTTTGCAATGGAGTCATATTAAATATTTAACGAGGACAGACCTTGCAAGCTGTAATTCCCCAAGTGACATTGTCTGCAAATTACAAATTCTGACTAACTACCAACAAGCATCATAAAAAAAGGAAAGTTGATTTTGCTCTAAGATACACAGAGCATGAGATGTTTCTCTGCAGCTTCCTCTCATGCCTCTTCCATTAAATCTATGAAACCGCTCTGTGATGGCAGAGGTCCAAAACACAGAGTGAAGGCGTAACCTCAACTATAACATATTTTCACAATGGCTAACATCAGGCTCACGCTCTCTGGCACATGAGCCTTCATCAGAGCATCTGTTTTTTGGCTGAGAATCCATCCAGAGGAAGGTTATACGAGGAGGTGCACCTGCTATATGTTTCCCACTGAATACTCTCATCAAGTGTGGTGTGCTGCTCGCTGCTCCAAGCAGCCTGTTCAAAGGACACTCAGGTGAGTATTATACACTTAAAGATACTGGGAGGAGATTTCATGTCATGATGATCTGGTGACCTCTTTGGATGTAATCAGTGGTGTTTATCCAGTGTGTAGTCTGCTGCATTTCCCATGTGCGCCGTCACCCACTGTCATGAAGAGGCTTTTGACAACTTTTGTAGGATGCAGAGTGCAGGGCTTCAAGTTTACAAGTAAAATCCTGGACCTCAAATGCTGTTGACACGGGAACTGCACAGATTCACTTCTGTGCGAGTGCTTTCCAACATTTATTTCACACATAGACAGTTAAGGTGTATCAGCTTAAAAGTACAAACATGCTATTCGACCGCAGTCATTGATGACCAAGTGGCAGTTGTGACTGTCCCTCTTAGTTAGTGGTGGGCGATCTACCCTCAAAATGATATCTCGATATTTCATCGCAATTTGCGCTAACGATATTTATGATGATATGGGGAGAAAATTACAGAACAAAATATTATTAAGCATTTTATTATTGTTTGTAAAAAGGGGTTAAATTATGAAAATAAATTAAAATTTGCCATATATTAACAGGACAGGAGTTAATACCCCCCCCAAAAAAAAAAAAAAATCCCATGTTTTTTATTTTTAAGTATGTCCTCATACGCAAAGGTTTGACAACATTGACAACATTAGCCCCGTTGTCTGTTGTTACACACACCTGTTTGTCCTCTTATAGATTCCATGACTCAAGAAACTCCCTTAATCCACTCACAATATTTTCCCCCAGGTGATCCTTGGGAATGTTGATGGTTTCAAGACAGGAGTAGTGCAGCTTCTAGTCGTAGCCTATGTAATGGACTGTCAGGCTGATATAGGGTCGAAGGTTTGGCTGGACCACGTCAGTCGTACCCGCGATTTTTTCATTAAGTGTTTGAAGCCTTCCCTTCCGACAGCCTGAACTGACTTCATGTCTTTGGCCAAACAATATGTGACACGACCCTAACATTACGCTTCGGTAATGTCCTGCCACCATCTGTTTTTTTTTTTAATAGTATGGAGTGCAGAGAGTGCTCCTGCAATGCTCCGCTGAGCCATTTGCTTACTCTTACTCTGAACACCTGTAGCTGCTTTCAAGTCCTCATCACGTGCCTTCAAAGCCTACTGATATTCGCCCGTGTGTTTTAGCTTTAGATGATAAAATTTAATAGCTGTGTTAGCCAAACCAAAACCACACCACAGCGGTAGTTCCCTTTTGGCACTAGATCCTCATTTGAGGAAGTTGATGCTGCTGTGCTGCTCTCACTCTCGGATATTGTTGTTGTGTATGCAGTAGGGAACATCATACGTCATCGAGTCCCTACGAGTAAATACTGCGATATGACAAATTTATATCACCGAAAAATGTACACTAGTATTACTGTACATGGTATGATATGGCACACCCCTACTCTAGTAATGTAATTAATTGTTGGAGGGTGTGGACAGCTTAGTGACCAGGGTCCTATTCATGACGAGAAAGCACACGGCTCCTTTGTTCTGCAGCACCAGTGTCATCAGTGCCCCACGCCATTAATCAAATTTCCTGACATCTTCATCAGGTTTTATCAATTTGTTTTCCATTTCAAGCAGAACATAACATCCTAACACAACGGCTGATGAGACCTGCCCTACTCAACTTCTGATGGCACGTAACACTGGTTATGTTGAGAGCATTAGCTGCATCACTGCCATTAAAATGATCAACTGTCACGAAACATTAACTAAACTCAGATTCATTAACTTACAAAAGGGAATCAGACATTCGGGTTAAACACAGCCCATCATAGCCCCAGTGTCATGATGAGGACTGTGGTCCTGATAAATCCTTGAATAACATAAATATGCACACGGTGCAACTCTTTCACCCTTAAAGGGCACCAAAGCATTCATGGCCTGGAAACATTAAATCCAGTTCAGAGCTTATTGCTCTTCCTAAGAAAAGATCTGGTCTTAGAGTTTTCATTTTAAACCGCTGAAACCAGTGCAAAGGGGTAGGTGTCAGACTTGCAGCTGAAGAGAAAACCCCAATTTCAAAATGTCCACATAAAGATTCTGAAACTGGCCGAAGTGTTTTGGACATGTTTGCCAGGCTCTAACCCAGAAGTTGAGCAGCATAAGTGTGTTGCTTGGAAGCTGAGCGGCAGACAAAACCTTGACAAAGAACCGATGTGGAAATAGATAAAGCAGTTGTACCTAATGTACAAAAGTAACAGTGCTATAAAAGTGGCTGTGTTTTCATCATTATACGCACATCCTGTTAGCCACACTGACATGATTGTTTTAGTACGTGAAAGGCCAACCTGGAGGTGAACCAGTAGTAATGAGCTAAAAGGGAACATGTCGTCATCGACTGTGGCGGGGAGGACATACTTCTTTCATTGAACCCATTCTTGCCCAGTGGCTGTAAACAGGGACAAGGACAGTAGTCCAGTTAAATCTCCTTTTCGAACTGTGACCGTAGCTCGACTTAACTGTGCATGTAATTCTACTTAGAGTCTGGGTGAGTCATTCGATATTGTCTCCACTAAACAAGCATCAAACCTGATTTTTATGCTAATTTTTCCTGACTTTTCCAAACTCTACACATTCCATGAAAAGAGAAGTTTTTGACAAACCAACAGAGGAAAACTGTTTCACTTTTGAGTTACAGTAGACTTTTGGCCATGCAAAACAAGACGGTGGAGGAAATCTAAGTGGCAACAGACACACTGTTGTGCTACTCGCTCTCATTAAATTAACATCACACTCTGTTAACATGCTGGAAGTAAAAGCCTCCTTTGTTCTTTGTTTTGCAGACAGTGTGTGTAGTAAGTGGCCATAAGCTTCTCTGAATACAAACTTTCTGAAAACACCACGAGCATGAGCGGGAACAATGAGGCTGGTGCTGAAATTAATCGAGGCAATCATTCACTCTGCTGAATTAGAGCCATCACTGCAGCTGTCAGTCAGTGCTGAAACATGACGTCATCAGTTAGCGGCCTTGCACAGACCAGACACCCAGATGCTGTGGGCAAAACCATGAAACAGAAAATATCCTCCACAAAATCATCTTACACATGATGCTTATGCACCATGCGTCATTTGCAAATATTTTTTATCCTCAAAATGTCCAAAACCCTTCAATTTTTCGTGAAAGCAGTCTGATCGTAAGAAAATTAAAGGAGACAGAAATCCGACTATTTTTATGCCTGCAAACGTCTTTGTGGTTAATAGTTTCAGTAAAACAATCAACCCAAATGACATACACTAATGACTTCTAACCCACGCCTTCTATTTTCAGCAATTATCAACATAACCATTATTTCTAAGAGCGGATATAGGAGATGCACAATTTCCAATAAAAGTTAATGGGGCAGAAGGTTTTTCTCTGATCTGCAAATCAAACGCTTAGAAACACTGCAAAAAAAAAAAAAAAAAAAAAAAAAAAAAGCAATACAAAGAAGCCCTGAAGCATCTCTGATCATAGAGTATTAAAAATCAATACATTGACTATCCCTGATTTAGAAAAAAAACAGTGTTGGCTCTCTTTTCCTAGTGTGTGCCCTATTTCTCGAGGAGCAGCCATCTTCGATATGTGAATAGATGCATAGTAATGACATGGGAGCAGTCACTTCAAAGCTCTCCCCTATATTGTGCCACAGGCCAACACTTCGACAGACTCCAGAGGAATGACTCGTAAATGCAGCTGCGTGCACACCTCGGCTCGTGAAAGGAAATTCTCCTAGAAACAGACACAGCCACCACAACACCTACCTCCAAAATCAGGCCTTAAACGGATGTCATATCCCTTCAGCAACTTGTCCACGGTAGTCTTGGCCACAGACATTCCCGAGCTTCCAGTGGAGGAGCTGAGGGGAGAAGACACGAGAGTAAGAGATGGAAGCAAAAACAGAGCTGTTACGTCTATCATAAAAATGTTACTGTACAAAATACAGTCTGTACTAAGAATCACACAGTATGTAATCTTTTTTCTCAACATTGATGACATGAGTGCCACCTTTGAAGAGGAAGCTCTTGCGTCAATAATGTGCCTCGACAAAGAGAAACTGCTTCTTATGATTAAAAAAAACCCATTTCACTTCTCTTACAGTGAACACTTTGTCTTATTTTATCTGTTTTGTTCTTCATTTTAGTCATACTTCACTTTATTTTAGCAGCACTTTTCTTATCAGCATGCAAAGTGTTTCACATAGGAGACATTAAATGTAAATAAAATGGCCAACAATAAAATCACAAAAAGAAAATGCTAGAAAACCGGTTCAATCTCATGTTGCTGTCCGCTGACACCAATTGTAATTATTCCACTCTCGCAAAAGCAAGCTTTTCACTTCAAACTGTTATATCTGGTACTTTCTTTGGATGTTGCAGTCTGTTTTCAGGCAAATATATTGATCTGGCCTAATGCATAATACAAAATAACACAGTGGCTCCTGCGTTGTCATGGAGCAGGTTGAAAACAAGGCCTTGTAAGTGCATTTTACTGTATTTCAAGATTCAAGATAAAAGATGAATTCATCGTCGTTTTTCCAGTGTTTTCCCTAAAAAAAAGACAAAAAGCTCATCTGAGTTCATCTAAGTAAATAAAGGATTTTAATTCAGCTGAGGGGATGAGATGATGAGACACCTCTAATTATTTCATGGGTGTTTTTCATTCAGTGAGGACGTATTTGGAGTTGCTTTTGTTTTGGCTGAGTAATCGGGTAGGGCACAGTTTTATTTGTTATATATCTACATAATCACTGTAGGAGACCATCCTCAGAGGGAGCCAAAAGTCCACACTTGTCTGACCGACATCTATCACATTGGTGCCATGACCTGCATCACCTGGCATAGACCAGCTCCCCAGCTGAGGTTCCTTGTTATAGGGGGAATGGGTGTGTGGGATGAGTGCAGGTGAGGAAGGGGAGGAGGGATACGAGGTGGAAGAAGTGGGTTAAAATTGCTCCCCTGACAGGAGCGCTAGCCCTGGGCTCAGTCAGGGAAGCACTCTTCAATTAGCTCATAGGCTGTGCAGCTGTTCATCAAGCTGGCCGGCTACGAGACTTGTGGGTTTGACACCTGAGAGGGAATCTCGGTGACACCTGGAACACGGGCCGGGATGATTCCGGGTTATTCTAATGGAATCAAAATGTCAAAAAGTGGTGCGACCCAGTTCTGGCTGGGCGCCTAAATCTCATAAGTGAGGCTGTAGGTGACTGCAGACAGGAGAGGGGGAGGAGGAGAAGGAGGGGGAGAAGGCCACTGGGGATTTGTAACAACAGAACAATAAAGGGGGCTGATCAGGGGGGATTGTGGCTGTGATGATGTTCATAAAGGCTTGTGCTGTAATTCACACTCTTACATTACAAGACCTGGACAAGAGCTTATTTATTAAAACCTTAAATCTTGCAGCCTCCTCTCTGCCAGAGGAGCAGCAGGTAGGGCTGATTACCTGCTGGGCTTGTTTTGAAATCTGATTGATTTGGCTCCAGTCAATAAAATGGGTGATGAGGAAGATTACATGAATGGGAATTTTGGACTACTTTGCGTTTCGAGGGATGAATTAAATAAGTAGGCTTGTAGGCCGAGGGGCCACGGCAGAGTGGACTCGTACATGTAGCTGCTCACCATGGCGTAATCAATCGATCCCCGGTTGATTGATCCCATCATCTAATCATCGACTGAGCCTGTTGAAGCCCACTGGGGGCTATCATGTAGGGACCCCACCAAAAGTCGTCTTACTGATGAAAAACACAGTATACATTCCCCTATGTTCTTATATCAAGTGCAGGTTACGTTTTACAAAAGCCCTGCTGGAGTGCACGCGCATGTTTTCACGCTCGCGCGCGCCACAGCACCGTCTATTAGAGCCCATATCGGCAGCAATGCCCCTAATAAGTAGGCCTGGGTACCCCGTTAATGCGATTTGCCACATCTCAGCCCTTTTATTGACCGGTAATCACGTCTGCTTCTGTGAAAGCTTTTTCCAGGCGAGGTTTTTCTTACCTTTGAACAAAGCATACGAAGGACAAAGCCGCCAGAGCAGAGAAAATTCCACATAATTTATCTTCTTGACGACCCAACATCTCCACAAATCCTTAGATATAGTTTCTATAATCCAACCAGTCCAGTGGTCCTCCAGAAAACGCACAAAGTAAAAAGTGGCAATTAAAAAAAAAGATAATTGCCTTTGAGAATGTCGACTAACTAAGCCTACATGTACGCATACGATGTCTTCATTAAAAGAGGCTTCTGGATTCTTTAAAATCTGCTCTAATTGGCCCCCGCTGTTTTCCCTCAGCTATGGAAATCCGTGCAGGTCACAGAGCCCCTCGACCAACACCAGGAGATCAGACATCTTTGCTCAAAAACAGCATACACAATACTTTTAAAAGTGATGACAAGTGTTCCTCCCCTTAAAAACACCAACACTGGCATGAATGAGTGAGCAGCAGCCTCCCGGTGATCAAATCGGTGGGTGAAATTTCCCGGTCCAAATCTGCAGAAGAGGCATGGTTCCAGCGACGCTCCGGCGCCAGACTATTCCACACCGTGGTGTTGTTCACAGATATTTGTTGTTGGAGCTGGAAACGCTGCTCGGCAAGAGGGGAGCGGTGGGTTCAAGGGAAAAAAAAGAAAAATGAAATCTTCATTCCTTGATTTTTGTGCCCTCGTTGCTGCTTTTTCTGCTGCTGCTGCTGCTGCTGTTGATGATGATGTAGATCAGCGCAAAGTCACTGAGGGGAAAATGCACATTGAAAAAGCAGTGGGTAATATCTGATGCAGACGTCAGAGCAGGCTATATCACTCCTCTGCTGGAAAAAAAAAATTACATACCGAGAAAATATGGATGGCCCCTGATACGCTAAAGCATCTTCGGGTCAGGTTTCATATCAAAAAGAGGCAAACCTATGAGAAAAGTCCCCCTGCCTCCGCTGTCCGGCGTAAATGGCGTTTCAACACGTTAATGTGCTGCGCGCGTCTCCTCCGCCAAACCATTCAACAAATGACACAGAATCAACAGTCCGGAGACACATCATGCGGAATCTCGCCTCTGTTTTCCTCTTCCCTTTCCCAGGTCTTGGTCAAAATTAAAACAATATTCTATTGGTGAGGGGGAGAAGGAGGGGGGACACCTAAGGTGAATTCCTTAGCGACAGCCTGTTCACGCGCTGCTGAATTGTCTTGTCTTTTCTCTGAAACACATTAGGATGCTGGGAGTGTGTGTGTGGGTGTGTGTGAGTGTGTGTTTTCGGGCTTTTCTTTCACTTTGGCACTTCTAAAACACGCTCTCACATTCAGAGAGAGACAAGCGCACAGTCATACATACACATATGGCACACGAGCGCGAACAGCAGGGACACTGTTTGTTTTTTGTAGAATCAATTGTATTTCCTATCATGAAATTTTGAAAAATCAGCTTTTTGACACATTAACACCCTTAGCTTCAGCGCACATCACAATTCAAGAAATCACACACAGGCTTGTGTTTTATACAGAAGAGGAGGAGAGGTTTTCTTCAGGGATCTCTGTGCTGTCCAGTTGCTAAGCAACCTCATCCAGCACTGATGCAGTTGTGGTGAAAGCTCTGCGCAAAGACTCATTTAAAGGAGCAGACCCAGTGCTGTCACCGCTGTGCTGTCAGTGGGACAAAAGCACACAGCAGCTCATGTACCATGGAGCCATTTCTGTTATAACAGAGGTTCATAATAACACATGTAAAAGACATGTGGCATGTCAGGGGCTTCACACTCCACTCTTTCTGCTTCATCATCACTGTCCTCATCTTCATCCTACTCTTCCTCCTTGTCATCACTGTCTTCACTGTCAGGGCCACAGGGGCTGTGATAAATAAGACAGTTTGAGGCAGTTTAAAACATGTTCATGTTCAGCAGACAGACATCTGTTGCTTCTGCATATTCTCTGCTGGCCTCCAAACCCAGAAATTCAACCGGCCCTCCCACAGGTGATGTCACAGCTTTAGACAACAAGGTTGTGCAATGAGAAGGAAGAAAATCTAATGATTTGTTGAATTCTCAGGTTCATTTTTTTTATCATCACTTACTTTACAGTGTTTGGGTTGATACTTTCGTGGATTGATTAGCATGAACCCACCCACTTAAACTTTATAACATAGGTTTGCTTGCAATAAGTATGAGACTTGTTCAAAACTTCAACTTAAAGCTTAAAGCTGCTGTGGGGATTTTTTTCTCGCGTTGGTTTTGGTGCCCTCTGCGGGCGGAGCAGCACCTCTAACTCAAAAAAAGTCATGCTGCTTTTTTAACAGTCAACAGTTTTGATGAAACATCGTAGACTGTATATAGAATGAATGCCGTCAGCCTACTCACTAGATGGAGCCACCCTAAGAACAGCGACCTCTGGTGACGGGCTGCAGTATAGGTCATAAATCCTGCCTCCTCCAGCAATCCCTATGGAGCTGTGGACAAACTTTAGAAATTTATTAGACAGAATATAAAATGTTCTCCCCCCTGGTTGCGATGTTGACATGTAATTATTTTAAGACTGGTTTGTGCTCAAGTCCTCTTTTTTCTGTACAGCTCAATTTTAAGAGTTATTAGGGGGTTCATGTTTTCTATGATTGACAGTTAATACAATCTATGGGGGTACGAAGATTGTGTAGCTCATCCGGGGATACGCGTCATCACAGCGACTCTCCCACCGAATGCGTACAATGCTATTGCGCAAGTGGTGGAGTACGAACAATGCTACTGCGCAATGTTGGTTTCAAGAAGTGGAGAAAAATCACAGAAATACCGAGAGCTTTTCGGCCTCAAATCCATATACTGGCGAAAGGCGGACCCAAGTTGTCTATAGTATATACAGTCTATGTGAAACATGCTCTATTACCCAAACGAACCTTTATCAATAATCACATCCTGTACATTTAAGGGCAATAACACCTGACTATGACCTGGCACATCAACTAACTGACAGCAACAACTGGACAATAGAGAGCATCCCAAGTTTGTTTAACACTTGTTGATTTTGGTGTTAGTGTAATCCAGGACATTTTTACAGGCTCTCTGAACCGCTCAAATTAATAATTTTGGGGGACTTGGCCTGAACTTACTGTCAGGCTCTGCTGTCCTGCTATGACAAAGTTGAAAGCTCACTCAAAAGCTTTTTCAAATGATCTGGTGCCTGAAAATTCTATTTCACTGCTGCTCTTTTCCTCCACTTTGACTCAGTGTGTTTCGGGAAGTTGTTAGCGATTTTTCTTTTGGTTGTAAAATACACTCACAGTCATTGTCTCTTCCAAAAAGTTTTTATGTTTTCAGTCGACAACAGCCACAGCATTGCTGTTTGTGGTCGCCACTTCACTTTGAAAAGAAAGGCCAGTACAGGCTTGATTTGTGTCTTAACTGTCACTGAAACTGTCACATGATGGCTAAGGACCATAAACTGTTAAAAATATGAACACCAACTCATGTTACAATAGCTAATGCAAACTTAGAATAGGAAGCTAGTATGGGTGTCAATGGCTGGCCTCAAACTTTTTTAGTCAAAGCATAACTCATGACCACGAGCTGTTTCTAATTTCAAATTACTGAAAGCGAAAAACAAAGCATTTCAGGCAGAGGTTGAATAGTGCTGAAATGAGGGTTTTAATAGATGCATCTATTAGATAATGAGTTTTTTAAACTACAAATCATGTACAACTACTCTATGGATGTCTCAGACTGACAGAAAGAAAGGTGAAAATGATAACAGCTCTCTTTTATGGTCTGTCGTGGTTTCATAGCTAGTCACTCCAATCAATAAGAAAATGAAAACTTACAAAAGGAACCCTTGTTTTAAGATGCACATGCACACTTTCTCCTCCGGTATAAGTGACAGGAGTTTCTTGGGGCGCAATTGTGCCCAAAACGCATAACACACAACAGACGGCAGCAAAAAAAAAGCTACACCTCTTTGATGGAGACATTGAGAGTGGGGCAGACAAAATCGCAGAAAGAAATCTCAGTTGAGCAAAAATACTGTGAAAAATGCACTGGTTGCAACTGATTGATTGTAATCTTCAGACATAACCCAATCCTCATAATTTAGTTTATACCTATTGTGTCAATAAAGTCACAAGTTACACACTGATGGTTGTTAATCAGCTGCAAAGGGCCAAAGTTAAGGGAGGGCTATCGTGCTATCTATCCATCCATCTATCAATCCTTCCACTCTGGGCTCCAGTTTTAAGTTCAGTTATTGTTGTGGCATTCAGTCGATGGCACTTGTAAATGGTTGTTTCCTTTCCTAGTCTGTGATTTAGATTAAAAATATAGTTCGTAAACTTAAACTCAGTGTGCAGTTGAAAACATAGAGTGCATTTTTGGGGTAAGATCCAGAGCAAGTCTCATTAACCCTCAAGGGTCTCTAGTTTTTAGACTCTAATTCTTTTCTGTCTCGAGATTTTAAGAACTACTCTATTCCTGCTCCCTGATAAAGCTGAATGTCTAATGGACTTTGACAGTTGAGTCTGCAGCGAATACTAAACCTAACCAGCACCAGACTGGTTTTCATGATGAGATTCAGTTATTTAAATGCAAATTATTCACAATGCATTCTGAGAATAAACTAACTTGACAAACCCTGTGTTTTAATCATTCTGTTCAAGCATAGGCGCCAAGGTAACATTAAATATATGCTGTACAATGGCTTGATTATCCAGCATACTCATCCTTACATGTAATCTTTAACTGCTGTCTATTTTCCACAGTGAAAGCCACAGGAGAGCATTGTCGGTTAGGTAAAGATAAGGCCTGAAATATGGAGTAAAAATGTGTGTGACATCTTGCTACATGGATCCCTTTGGTCTCTGGGCATGCTCGATCTGTTTTTTCATTCTCACTCTCCATAGTGCTCCCATTCACAGCATTCCCTGATTACTGCAATTAACTCTAATTGGCATCTATGACAAGCAGACCCGAGCCCCTGAGATGTGCATGTAGCATGCCTCTTTTTTTGCTCCATTCACATGTTGCGTAACACATATGAGTTACTGGGTCACCCTTGCTCCTCTGATATAAATAGTATCACATGGTTAATGCATTGGTGCCTTCCAGTCACTCCCTGCTCCTCTCACTGTTCATATCTGTCAAACACCCCAATCGGCTCTAAGTAACACATGATATATTGAACTGAAATGTTTGGACATGTTTCATCATGTTTCTTCAAGCAGTTCCATCACCAGCCTGCCACAGAAGTGAAGGTCTGTGTTTTATGAAACAGGGAGACTAAATGGGAGTTCACTTAGCACTAATGTGTTGTGGGATTTTGCGCACTTGCTTTGATTAGAGAACACAATCAAGGCTCCTCGTGAAGACATTTTATTCATGGTGAGAGGGCCTTTAACTTTGAGGTGAGATGACACCTCAAGTTCATGTTTGGTCAACTTGACTGTGAGAGGGCTCTCCTTTAATAATCACTATCACTCCTCTCTCTGCTCGGTTTAGAAGAGCAGACCGGGAGAGCTCCCTGGAGAGATGGGGATTTCAAACTGTATTGTGTTACTACAACTTGACTTACCCAGGATGGATCAAGGAGAGCTATGTCAGTGGGACAACACAGACCTGATGATCACAGTACATGAAATAAGTCAGCTTTTTGAATTTCTGTTTGGAAATTTCAGGGATTCCTTTAATAATTAAAGATATACAGACATTTAACATTTGTTCATTTTAAAGGGAAGGTTCCAGTTTTTTGAAAAAGGGTTATGTGAGGTTCTTGTCAGTAGTAAGTGTATCAGCTGAAGGGACTGTAACCAGTGAAGCCCATTTGTTAAAAAAAACAGCCAGAGAGCTGGAACTTAAAGGTATATTCCGGCGTAAAATTAAGCTAGGGTCAAACACACTGTAACACCGAGTTAGACACCCCCTCAAGAGATGAATGTTGCCGTCTGCTTGCTTCTCTAGTTATACCAACTTAACAGCAACGCGCACACCTCAACCAAAAAGCCATTTCCTTAAAGCAATAATCATCATATTAATCTTTTTGCACTGCAGACACTGTAGTTCTTCTGCCTTAGCGTCTCAGTCTGATTTCATTTCCATGAAAAAATGATCATAAATGTTCTTCCTTGAGCTGCGTCACCCCGCTGCAATCGGTGATGGACTCGTTCGAGCTCTGACTACAAACAAGCGGCTGCTGGAAGAGAGTAGGTGAGTTGTGTTGAGTCA